AGTATATAAACTTTTAATTTTTTTAAAATCATACCTAATGTTTAGTTTTTGTTTTATTTTAGTGCTCAACGTTAAAGACTTAACGGTTTTAGTACCTAAACTATCAAATTTGATCTGTATTAGTACCTAAACTTTTAATTTTTTAAAGCATAACGTTAAATTTTGAACCGTGGTACAAAAATAAAAAAAAAACTAATGTTTGAATATGATTTTAAAATTTTTAAAAATTTAAATTGTAAAATAGACCAAATGATTTAGGTACTAAATACGTAATTTACCTAGAAGAAAAAAAAGTCGGCTGTAAAAATAAATTGGTTGACCTCCCGTTTCAAGGTTTCGCTTTGATTAATCCGGATTGACTCGCGTCACACTCTTGATTTTTGTGGGTGAGTCTCTCAGCATAGATTTGTTGCATACACAATAACTCGAACTCAAAATCTTACTTAAACGATATCAAATTACTTACTATTTAAATCAACCCCGGTTAATAAATGATCAAAATTTTGATAACTCTTAAAATAATTTTCAAAGTATTAGCGATGTAGGGTATTTCCTAAGAAGGTAAGAAATGTTTGATGAAGACAAGTGGGGGACTGTGTGAATCACGTAGTTGAGATTGTCGCGTAGCCGAAGAAAATGAAACCTCACAATTAACTCGGCGGATTCCTCGAACGCCAAGGTGGACCGATGTGACCCAAATTTTTAGGGTTTTTATATTTTTTACAAGTTTTTAGATTTTCTCGGTCCTACACGTCGGCTCTTGGCCTTTTTTTAATTAATTTGTTTTTTAATTTTAAGTGATGGTTTTCATCATGTAACTTTCAAGGGTAAAATATACAAATGGTCCATTGACTATAAGATATTATTTTTTAATCCCTTAATTATTAAAAGTTATAAAATGACCTCTTAATTATAAGAAGTTATTTTGTTGAGTCCCTAGATTATTAAAAGTTAAAAAATGATCATTTGACTATTTATTATGTTTCAAACTCCTAATTTTTCATTAAAATATTAAGATATTCTGAGATATGCGTTAACATGATGATTGAGATATGATAATCATTTGAGGTTATGAGATCAAATTTTATCATATCATAATCAGTATGTTAACGTATAACTCAAATTGTCATCAAAATTTTAATGAAAAAATACAAGTTTGGAACTAATGAATAGTCAGATGACCATTTTGTAACTTTTAATAGTCGATGGACTCTATAAAGCAACTCTCTATAGTCGGGAACATTTTATAACTTTTAATAATCAATGATGGACTTAATAAAGTAATATCATATAATCAGGAGACTATTTATATACTTTACCCAACATTCAATAAATTTCAATATTAAATTTAAATTATATCATATATGATTAAATCTTGTTCGTTGACTCATTATATCAATATATTTTAATTTTATCAATTTTATTTTTATATTTAATTATGTCGCATTGTCATTAAAGTTGATAACAAGACGATGATATAACTAATAGTTGTTAACGTGGATTGTTAAACGAAAACAAAATCATTTTGGTGTGATTATTTTGATGTCTAAAATAACATCATTTTAGACACTATATTTTAGGAACGTGTTGCTTTTGCCATTGGATTTTTAAATATTTTACTTTTTTGACATTGTATTTTTCGATCATTATAAGAAACTAATCGTCGATAGTCTTGCACATCAAAAATTATACCAAAACTTTTGTATTTCACTCATTTTTTACAATTGATTTTTCATAAAATACACTAAAAATGACAAAAAGAAAAGAAAAAGCCCTTAACATTTGCTTATTTATAATCTCACATTATTTTTAGTCTAATTTTATTTTAGTTATAATTTTATTTCTTATAATATTTTAAATAATATTATATCTTATAGAACAAAGTAATACTTAAAACGAGTTCAAGCATTTAAAATAAAATTATAAATTAACAGTGGGGAAAAAACCCTTTATCATTTACTTGTTTTTAATTGTACTCTTAATTATATCATGTCACGTTAAAAATATTATTCTTTAGACGGCCGTCAATTGACTATTAAAAAACAATTATATGTGTACGAATAAAGAAGTTTTCGTGATAGAAAAATTATTGTTATTTTTTGAGGACTCGGGTTCGAGCACCATAGATGTCAATGGTGTGAACATTCAATGTCGAAAGGTTAAGAGTTATCTTTGAACAGATAATATCTTATACTTACTCCGGATTAATAAAAAAACAGCTATATGTGTGGCAAGAAAATAAACTTTTGAGTATGAACTACTAAATAAATTTTTTTTAAGGATGTAATTGAAAATAGAAAATAAAAATATGAAGTTTTTTATTTATTTATATAACTATGCCTATAATACACATTGATAAGTAGTTGGGTATTGGTAGGGGTAGGTAATGAGAGTTTTCCCCTTTTTTTGCTACTACCAACCCCCATCGTGCAACTTGCGTCCAATATGTTTTAATTGAGTTCACCAAACCAAATGCAATATTTAATTTCATTAAAGAATTAAATATGTTTAAACTTTGATGTATTATTAATATATATTAATTAAGGTAAAGTATATAAATGATATTTCGATTATAGTGTATTACTTTGTTGAATTTATCTACTATTAAAAGTTATAAAATGATTCATCAATTATATTGTGTTGTTTTTTTTAGTTTTCCGACTATTAAAAGTTACAAAATGGTTACTTGACTATTTATATGTTTTAAGCTTGTATTTTTTCGTTGAAAATTTGACGACCGTCAGAGTTGAACGTTAACTTGTTGGTTGTGATGTGATAAAATTTGATCGCAAAATCATTTGAGTTGTACTTTTTGTTGGTGTACTCTCAATTTAGTCGATGCTTTAAACATTATGTCGTTAAGCCAACAGTTGGAAACAATGATTAATATGATTTTATCATATCTCAGTCAACAGATTAACGTCTACCTCAGACGATCGTCAATTTTTTTTAACATAAAATGACGGATTTGAAATATGTGAATAGTCATGTAACTACTTTGTAACTTTTAATATTTGATGAACTTAACAAAATAATATTATATAATTAAGGATCATTTTATAACTTTTAGTCAAAAGATTCAACAAAACAACGTATTATAACCAGGAGACCATTTGTATATGTTACTCTATTAATTAATAGGCTAACAACGATTTATATATAAAGAAATGAAAATGTGCAAATTCATATACAAATTAAACCATTATGAAATTTTATAAAATTTAACCAATGTATCTAAAAGATTATAGGATTCAAGTATATGTTATAAATTCAAATAAAATTAAGATAATATATTTAAAATAAATCTTATCGATTTACATATTTAATGTATAGGTTTGGTTATTTTAAAAAATAATTTGATAAAATCAAATATTTACAGAAAAATGGCGCAAACTAAAATAATTATACTAAATATTTAATAAAATGTAATAAATAAATTCAAAATCAAAGTATTTAAAAAATTACACATGGGATCCTTTGTCGTACTTGTACACATATAATGTTGTTTGCACTTTACACCATCTTTTTCGTCACGTGACTCTGTACCATCTCTTCGAGAAAGCCCCACGAGCTTTGCACGTGTTTTGTAACGTTTGTGTAAAACCCTAAAACATCCTTCGATTTGACTATTTTCCATAAAACATTAGGAATGTAATTTAATCCAAAATTAATGGATTTTGAACAAATCCAATTCGATAGCATGTTTTTAAGAAAAAAAATGAAGGTAATAATATAATAATTTCATATAAATTTATGAATAATTGTTATAATATTTTTTTTAATAATTTTTAATTAAATTATTATTTTATGTCAAATCAAATTAGGTCAAATTAAATTTATATTTTAAATTTTTGAGCTAACTTGAGTTTAAATAAAAGAATTGTACTCTTCAAATTGAATTAAATATAATTAAAAATATATATTTTTTAATTCAAATCAAATTTAATTAAAAATATATATTTTAAAATATATAGAATTAATAAAAACACGACTCCATCCAATCTATTGGCATCCCTAAAAATAGTATCCCACAATCATCCTTGCAAATTCGGAGATGTTAGCTTTGGATATGAATATTATTTTTATTTTTATTGATATAAAAATATGTTGCATATTAAAATTACCTTCACTAAATATATGAAAAATGTTTTTTTAAAAAACTTTAATAAATAGAATAATCTAAACCGTTTCGAAGTGATAGAAATCCATTTAGATTGATTGGATTATATTAACCTAACTGTTTGAGAAAAGGGGGTAAATTATGTTTATTATCTGAACTATTAGTTTGGTTCATTTTAATACTTAAACTTTTATTTTTTTTCAAAATCACGCCTAACATTTAATTTTTATTTCATTTTAGTATCATGCTGTTAAAAACTTAACGGATGGGCTCACTGGTCGTCGCGTCTTCGGTTGTCGGTCGTCGCATTCGTCAGCTAATGAAGCCCAAACTTTTAACCCACACCTTCTCGACCACTGAGCGTGGTTTCAACCTTCATTTCACTGCAAAATGTCTTAATCTTCCTAAATCAATGTTGGTCTCTTCAACTTTTTTATCCTCGAATCTTCATTGTCAGCTATCCAATAGACCTGAATAGACTATGTTGGTTGACTCATCATTCTCTAGTGGTCCACCGTTTAGATTGGTCGTATATCCACCGATATTATGCTCCGTCCGTTAAATTTTTAATGACGGAGTACTAAAATTAAAGAAAAACAAACATTAAGTATGATTTTGAAAAAGTGGAAAGTATAGGCACCAAAACGGACTAAATCTGATAGTTCGGGTATTAAATGTGTAGTTTACCCAAGAACTGATATGTACGCATTACCTCTCAGCTTCTCGTCCAGTTATTATTAGCCACGTGGAATGAAGAATTCTTGTCCAAAGTGAGTTCTCTCACTGTTCGAAACGTGTCCTTCTCCAGATACCCCATTTGCCACTTTAGTCTTTTCCCTTTTAGAATTCATAGGAACTCTGTTATTTTCTTTTCTTCACGTACGTTCAAAATCTCCCTCACTTCCTCTTTCTTCTCTCTTGATTTGATTTGATTTTTATTTTGGTTTCTTAGAAGATTCAGCTGCAAAGAGGAAGATAAGTAAATTAGAGGTGAATTTTGTACAATTTTTAGAATTGGGTTTTTCTTTTTGGTTAGTACTGTACAGTCTCTTGTTTGGTTGGTGGAAAAAAACTAAATAGAGAAAGAAAATATTTTCTGGGTTTTTATCTTTTTGTGTTTTGCTTTGGGTTTTTGAGATCCAATCTTAAGCTATAACCAAATCCAAAACTTCAGTGACTTCGTTTTATTCTTTATTTTAAGGAATTTTGTTATCAGGTCTTAGTTAGTATCATGAATCGTGCATGGTTATTTTCCTAAAGGATTAAGTGTTGTTTAGGCATAAAAGAATAATTAAAAATCTTTTGGATTTTATTTATTTTTGTTTAATTTATCTGTTATGAGTTAAAATTGCAATTACTTGGTGAATTACATCTTAGCTGTTGTTTTTTCTTTTCTTTTAGTTTCTAGGATTGAAAATGCTGTTGAATTTGCCACTATAGATATACTGCATACACTTCAGATTTTATGCTGTCGAACTTACGAAATTTTAGTGGCGAAAATGGATTATTAATAGAAAATATAAAGTAAATATTTAAATTATATGATAATTTAAAATTTTCGAGAATAGTAACCCATACTCGTGTGTTGGAATAGGTGTATTATTTTAGACAAAAAAAGAATGAAGAGTGAACATTTATGAATCTAAGTTGAGAAGAATCTATTCATCTTTGCTTCCCCCTTCGTTTAATCTCGATCACCTGTAAAATTTATCGAAGATTTAGAGATGATTACGGTTTTGGACCTTTCGGTGTTCTTCGCCCTACTCTTTGTGTGTCATTTGAATCTTGAAAATGGAGGAATGAAGAATGCATTTTAGCAGTATTACACTTGTATTATGTGTTTTGATATTCTCTGTTATCTTGATTCGCGATTGCAAGGTATTAGGCGAGTGATCGAGGGCGGAGGGATCATCGGGGAATATTACCATGGACCGGACTGAACAAACTGAACAGCAACAGCCTGTGATGGGAGTTGTAGCTGGTGCCGGTCCTCACCAAACTGCTCTCACGATCGCTTCCGCCACTCCAGCAGTGGCGGTCCCTTCACCGACTGCTTTCTCTAGTTTGCAGCACCAACTTGCCTACCAACAAGCACAGCAGTTCCACCACCAACAGCAGCAGCAACAACAACAGCAGCTTCAAACGTTCTGGGCCAACCAGATGCAAGAAATCGAGCAAATGTCGGACTTCAGGAACCACAGTCTCCCACTTGCACGGATCAAAAAGATAATGAAAGCGGACGAGGATGTGCGGATGATATCGGCAGAGGCTCCTGTAATTTTTGCGAAAGCCTGCGAGATCTTCGTCTTGGAGCTCACGTTGCGCTCCTGGATCCATACAGAAGAGAACAAAAGGAGGACATTACAGAAGAACGATATCGCAGCCGCCATTTCACGGACCGACATCTTTGATTTCTTAGTCGATATTATTCCGAGAGAGGAGTTAAAAGAGGAGGGACTCGGTGCCACCAAGGCTGCCATTCCTTTAGTTACTTCACCTGCTGAGATGCCATACTATTATGTTCCGCAGCATCCGTTGGGGCACGCTGGGATGATAATGGGAAAACCAGTTGATCAAGCTGCATTGTTTCCTGGCCTTCAACCTCAACCACCCGTGGCTTTCATGCCATGGCCCCAAGGTCAGCCACCGCAGCAGCAAAAATCTGAACAGCCACAAAGTGATTCTTGACGGAGAAGGGATGAGCCCCCAAGACATTGTAATATCGACATTTCTGTTGTCCTTGAAAGACTGGTTTATCTGTAGTTTAGGTTGTCATCATAGGTTTATTGAGTAGCCGGACTCCTAGTTTATGATTTCTTCAATGCTAGCTTTCGATTCAGGTACGGACGATACGAGATCTCAAAGTGGTTATGTGTTTATTTTTAATGCATGAATGATTAATTGAAAAAGTTTCATCCAAGCTAATTGCGTACTTTACAACTGAAACTGCATACATTTCTCTGTTTGCAAAGAGGTAGTTTGAATATACAACTTAGCCAGGTTAGGCTAAGCCCGGGTTAAGTTAGAAGATGACTCCGGGTTTTGCATACATTGCATGGCCATGGAACGATGAGTACGTGCACGGCTTGTTTCTGCCTTTAAACTTGAGCTCCGATGCTGTCGCCTCCTCCGTGAGCCGATAATTACACGTTTTGTAGTTCGCCGTTGAAGCTGCTTATCCTTAAAGTTACATGTTCCCAGTCACCCATGTGTTCACGTTTTCCCCAATGGTATGTCGATGAATGTCGCATTAGCTTTTTCTCCACCATTAAAAGGGTAAAACCCAGTTCTCAAATGTACGTATGTGTTGCCCCTAACATTGATTTTACATGTAAATAAACTCGGGATTGTTTCTCGATGTGAAGATCTAATCTGTATTTTCCATCGCCAGGAAGGTTCGTTCAAGTCAATGTGATCTGAACCGATTTCAACCCGTCCCCAGTGTGATCTGAACCGATTTCAACACGTTCCCCTTTGCATATAGTAATGCGCCATTGATGAAAATCCAGTTTACTGACGATGGGAGATAGGAGTTTTTCTGGGTGGAAGTAAATCCATGGCGGATAAGCTTTTGGACTGTGTGTAAAATTGTTGTATGTTGGGCATTGAAGAAAGGCAATTAGATTTCTCGATTCTCAAGTAAGCTGAAAGAGCATTGGAGATGGAAGGACTTTTAGGGTTATCGGCAGGGATAGGCCTTTTACTCTGATTTGATGGGTTTTGACCCGATCCAATTGAATTAATTTTCTAACTTAAAAATTTAGATTCAAATTGAGTCGTATCAAGTTTTTTAAGAGTGAGATTGATTGGGTTTAATTCGAGTTTAAGGTGAAAGTTTGACCTTATCTAACCCAACATAATATTATGATTATTACTTATATATTTAGGATAAGGTCAAGTGCATATTTTAACTTAAAAATTGAATTAAATTTCGAGTTAAATGAAATTCTTTTAAATCTATCGAATTGAGTGTATAAAAGAGGGTTTAGTTTTAGAATCAAATTCTAGTGAACCAAAAGCGTCACCTGATTTTTGGCCTCCCCTTGTTATGGGTTAGAAATGTGCCTACACTAACACTTCGTATGTAATCTTAATTAAAAAAGGTTAAATTACTTGTTTAGTACTTAAATTATCAGTTTTGATCTATTTTAACCATACTTAATGTTTATTTTTTATTTCATTTTAGTATCATGATCCAAATTTAACATTAAGTTTTGAAAAAAATTAAAGTTTAGGTACTAAAACAAATAAAAACTTATAATTTAGGGATTAAATACATTAAATTTTTAACGACGACTACTAAAATGAAATGAAAATTAAAAATTAAGTATGACTTTTAAAAAAATTAAAAGTTTAGGTATTAAAATACACCAAAATTGATAATTTATGAATTAAACTCGTCACCTCGAAGTGATAAATCCTATTGAAAATAATAAATTATTGGCTCACATAGGTCCATGTATCAAGGACCATTAAAAATATTTTTCAACATAATCATCTCCTTGAAGTGACAAATTCCAGATTTACTATAGTAAATATAGTAGATAATTAAACATAATTACCCTATTCAGCTAAATAATTAAAATTTTCGTCCTATTTTTCAATAAAAACCCTTGTTGTAAGCCAGCTGAATCATCTATTTCAAGCCCAAATTTAACAAAACGAGGGCCAAATTGACCCATTAGGACACTCCAAATATTTAATTTGGAATATACGATAAATATTTTTTTAATCTTTTAAATAATTTATATTTTTAGCACTACATTATCTAGTTGTTGTGGATAGCCAACCACCACCCGTCACCAGCCATCTTTTGTGATACTTTCAATATTAAAATATTCGTATTTCACTCATATTTTTTTTCTTAAGATTGATTTTTACGAAATTCACTCAAAATTGATGAAAATTTATTTAAATATTTAACATATCAATATTTCAATTTCTTAAATGATCGTCCAATGAGATTAGATTGTTTATCTTCTCGAAATAATATTTCTCACTGTTCGAATTTTTCAATAAACATCTCAAATCCCACAAATATAAAAAAATCTCCAAATCCCTAAAAATATGATTTTTTGTTTCCTTTCGTCTATATTGATTGAGTTTCATGAAAACTAATATTAAGAGAATGAATAAGAGTGAAATGCGAATATTTTAGTATCGATCTTGCCATGAAAGATGATTGATGATAGGAGGTGATTGGCTTCCGATGACATAAGAAAAGTGTAGTGTAAAAATGCATATATTTGAAAGTTTAATGACAAAATTGATTCATCTTAAAATTTAATTTCAAAAACATCGATCAATAGTCTTATCAAAATAATATCGTTTTGTCCACATTATTATACCATTTATATTTAAACGATCTTATAACATAATTGAAATTGAAATTGAAATTTAATATTATAATTAATAAAATTAAAGCTTCTGCGAATAAATTATATACGGTCTAAAGTTCAGTGTATCTCGTGTAGTTACCAATAAAATAAAATTAAAAAATACCCAAAAATAGAAGAAAAGAAAATTAAAAGAAGCTGTTGTTTCTTCCTCATCTCTGTCTCTGTTTTTTTCTTTTTCTTTGATCATCCATTTCAGTTCCTCCAAAACCCTAATTCTTTTAATATTTTTTTGATATTTTAATTTAAAATAAGGAAGCCAATCTGCATTCTAGCTTTATTTCCATTCTAGTAAATTTTTTTTCGTTCGGAAGCCTATCTACTAAGACTATTATTAAGCACCCATTTTTTTTTAAAGTTCTGAACTTTTTTTACTTAATTAAAAAGGAAAAACAAAAGGAGCATAAATTTGCAAAATCAAATTCCCATTTTCATTTGATCATTTGGGTTTTTTTTTTCTTTTACTCTGTGGGGTTTGAGGCTTTTATTCTATGGCTGCAGTAGCTAATGGAAACAGCAATTTGGTTGTTGAAACATCCAAATCAGAATCAAAGGATTTCAATGTTCAAAAAATTGTTGATATGTTCACAAAGTTGAATCCTTTGGCCAAAGAATTTTTCCCATCATCTTATCATCACAATCCCACCAAAACTGGTGATTTTAATCAGGTCCCTGCTAATAAGCAAGGGAATTACTCCAATAGAAGGGTATTTTTTTCACTCATCATTTACAATTTTCAATTGCATCCCCCCTTTTCTGGTTTTGACTGATGAGTGTTTGAGAGTTTTTAGCTGTATAGTATTTGTTGTTTTGGGTTGTTTTTGTCTTTGGGAAAATGGTCTAGTTTTACTGGATATGATTTTTATTCCATAGCTAAATTGGGGTTTTAGGATTTGCTTTGTTTTCTAGTACTGATGTATATAAGCTGGCCATTTGGTTCTCGAGTCTTGGATGATTCAATTCTTGCATTTTAGCTAGTTTTTGGTTGTTTCTCCTTTGGATTGATTGCTGCATTTATGATTTTAAGGTTTCAATTCGTCTAATGGTGGTTTAATTATTGAATCGATTGACTTGTTGGACTTCGATGTTATTGTAGTTAGCTTTTCTCGATCTGCTTGTCGTATATGAGATAATGTTTTGCTAAACATGGACACGTAACGATCTTGTATATCTTTGTTTTTCTTCTCCTTTGTTCAATTTGGTAAATGGTTGTTTTTTTTTCCAGGGAAGAAACAACAACCAGGGGAAAAGAAAGCTTAATGGTAAAGCTTTTCAAGCTCAAGCTCAAGCTCAAAGAGACGATAGCATTAGGCGAACGGTATATGTTTCTGATATCGATCAGAGTGTAAGTGTAAACAATTGCATCATTTTGTGATATTTTTATTGTTTCTTTGTGATTTTGTGAATCGCTTGCGGAAATCTTTTCTTTGTTCTAGACCACTGAAGAACAACTTGCTGGCTTATTTAGTAATTGCGGACAAGTAAGTTCAAATTGCTGGCTTTAAAGCTTTTGTCGTAATTTCGTTCGGTCCTGGCCAACGCTGCATTTTGATGTGGAGTAATTGACAATAACGTTTGAGCTATATCATTTCCATTTTTAAAGATTTTTTTGTGTGTGCATAAAGTATGCATTAAGACTCCAAGTTCACATAAAATCGGATGTTGGGGCTTTGGTTGATACTACTGGATAGGATTGCTTTTTTACTTGATAGCTTATATGACAGATTACTGTTTATATATATATATGATATTTCTGAAGTTGTTCGGGAATTATTGTTGAAGATTGTTGATTGCCGAGTTTGTGGTGATCCGAATTCAGTTCTCCATTTTGCTTTTGTGGAATTTGCAGATGAAGGTAAGCGGCTGATAAGGAATGAACTTAAAACTTTTCTTTCATTGATGTGTGCATTTAATTAACATGTCACATTCTTTATGAACTTTCTTTTAGCAGAGGGTGCGAGAGTTGCTCTGAACCTTGATGGTACAGTGCTCGGGTTTTATCCAGTTAAGGTCTTGCCTTCAAAAACTGCCATCCTGCCTGTGAACCCTACATTTCTCCCTAAGGTATGGATGAATAACTTTCTGGCTCTTAGTTGTTTCGGTTTTGCATAAGGCTTCATTTGATTCTATGCCATTTTTTCGGGTTACTGAATGGCTCTTGTAGTTTCTTTTTGTATTTTACTTTCGAGCCACACTCTTGATAATCGTATTCACTGCAATTGCAGTCCAAATACGAAAGGGAAATGTGTACCAGAACAGTTTATTGTACAAATATTGACAAGGAGGTAACCCCTTAATTGCTCACAAGAATATTCGAGCTCTCGTCTTTTATCCTAAGTTACTCTGAACAACTTTTCTTTTTGATTGAGGCACCCGTGTCTGACTGATATCCGGACATGGGTGTAGATATGACCCTCGAAGATCCCTCAAACATGAACATACTTGTGTCCCAAAATCTCTATTGGGTCCGAGTTTTTAGCTTTATCACCATAGTTATTGATGCAACTTAGTTGATCTAATCCTCACAAGCATTTTCTCTTTGATGGAAGGTTTCTCAAGCTGAAGTGAAGAATTTCTTTGAATCCTCGTGCGGTGAGGTTCGTACGATATCAATATCACACATGCCTTTTCTAACTGGTTTCCAGAAGAATGTTAATGCGATTTTCTTTTGATCCTCAGGTCACTCGCTGGAGGATTTTAGGGGACAATGTGCATTCAACCTGTATTGCTTTTGTTGAATTTGCCATGGTAAGTTCGTGTTTCCTGGATTGCTGTCGAAAATATTCGGTTCAAATTATATTTTCAGAGTATATTTACGATTCGTTGAGAACAAGTTTCCGCCATGGGTTCTAATTGATATATAATTTCTTTTCATGTTATTGAACATTGTAGCATGTCATCGATGTCTGTTTGCAAACTTTTACTCCAAATCTAGACGCTCTAATTAGGTGATATGTTTGATTAAAATCAAGTGGCTCGATTTTAGCAAGTGTTTTGTGTGAGATTATTGTGAAAGCCGGCCCGATTTACTTGTAAGCGAGGTTGCAGCCATAACGACAAATGGTTTAAAACGAGGTCGCATTCTTTGTAATTTAGCTTTCCATGTCTGATCTACGCCCAACTTTTGACGTATGTAACTGCAAGACACTCGATAATAGGTTTTTTCGATCATCGTGATTCTTAAACCTCTTCGATTTTTCACAGATCAGCCAAATGCCAGAGAAGCTTCTGACCTTAACTTTCTTTTCATTACGGAATCCTACAAGATCAGGTTGCATGATCAGGCTGTTTGCTTGTTTATCTCAGTGTTCTTTTCCGACACTACGGTTTTTGTTACTTCATATGTTACTTCATATGATTTTGCGTTTATTCGGTCGTACATGCATGTGTGTGCACCGAATCAATCATCTTCCGGAGTTCTTTTTGCATGAACATAAACTCGATGAATTAAATCGGCTTTGTGCCTTGATTCAACTCCTGTTTTTGGACAGGCGGAAAGTGCCGTTGTTGCATTGAGTTGTAGTGGACTGGTGCTCGGAACTCAGCCGATCAGGTGCGTTCTCGAATTTTCGTTCTAAATTCTACGCTCGTCAAATTCTTCACCGATTATTTCGTTCTTAACTCAGGGTAAGTCCTTCAAAGACACCGGTGAGGCCACGAGTTACCCGACCAACATCGGGTTAACCAATGGATCTAGCCTTTTAAGACCTATGGATGGAATCGGGTGACTTCCCGATGGCGAGAGAAACTCTGTTGCGTCGACGGATTGGTAAAAACTTCCCTCGGTTTCGTTCTTTCCGTCTCTCCCGATGCAACCGTTTCATTCTGTTTTTCTTTTATCTTTGCTCGAAGATATCGGCACCATGTGTCGGATTCATAAACCTTGAGAACTTTTTAACCTTATTCCATCCCTTTGTTTTGACAATGTTATCTTGGTGGGTTTATTTGCTAGTTTCCTTCCATATGAGTTCGAATCTCGATATTTGCAATTCTTTCTTGAAATAATCGTTCGATAAGTTCGAATCTCGATATTTGCTATTCTTTCTTGAAATAATTGTCCGACAATTAAATTCGAGTATGGAGATTTGACTTCTAATGATAGAAAAGCTTAGAAAAATAATTGAAAATATTACCAAATTATAATATATAGTTTGAAATATGTATTATTATATTTAGGGCAAATTACACGCTTAGTATCTAAATTATTACTTTTATTCTATTTTGGTATCTAAGCTTTATTTTTTAAAATAATACCTAACATTTAGTTTAAGTTTTAATTTGATACTTGTAGTTAAAAACTTAATGGCGATTTTGATATGTTATTATAAGATAATGTTACACCATCATTGAAAAAATTTGAAAATGTCACATAAATAGTTATGTTATTTTTTAACGACGAGTATTAAATTGAAACCTAAATTAAATTTTAGGTATGGTTTTGAGAAAAATAAAGTTTAAGTTCTAAAATGGAATAAAAGTAATAGTTTAAGTACTAAACGTGTAATTTATCCTATATTTTATGATAAAGTTTTATTAGTTAATTTTATATTAAAATATGATATCAATCCTCATAATTTGGCTAAGTTTGAGGTTCAATTTTTGTACTTCAATAGTTTAATTTAATCATAAATTTTATAAACATAATTGATAATTTTGTGGATTCTTCAAAACTATAATTTTTTTTAAATAAATATAGATTTCTAATTCAATCACAAATCCTCGTTCTCCTCATCACATTCTTTAATAGTATAATTTTTCTTTAGTCCTTTAAAAAATTGTACATTATAATTCAGCCAATGGTAAAATTACACTCTTAACCTTCTAGAAATCAATAATTGAATTTCAGTCCTCACCATGATTAGAAGCTATGTGCCTTGGAACCGATTGTGGCAGTGGTCGGAGGAATCCCCTGTTGGTGTTTGAAAATGTTGTTCGGATCGATCAATGTCTTAGCTTTCACCAATCTATCGTAATTATTCAAAAAATATTTTTCACCCCAAATCCGAGCAACCTCGACAGTATCCACCGATGGTACATTAGTGTCGATCAATTCCATGACACCAAGGTCCAAGTCAATGTAGTTCACATAAGCAGCCCTCGGACCACATGAAACGTGGTCCGACATTGCTTCATGGAATCCTCGTATCCATTCTATGTATTCGTTGCTTCTGTTGTTATCTTCACGGTGCCACTCGACGAGGTATTGGATCGTATACAAATTGCCTCGCCTATGCGGAAAGGCGATCGAGTTGCTGCTTATGTTGCTCATCGTGGCACCGTAAGGGTCCATGATGATGTACCCTTTCGGTTCGCCATCGAGAATGTCGAGGGCGGTTCTTATGCCGGTGGCAGAGATCGGATTCCTTACGTAGTCTGATTTGGCCTTGAAGTAATGCTTGTCTTGGAGATACCTAGTCTTGAGGTCCGAGATTGTGGCTCCGTTAGGTAGTCCGGAGAAGAATAGGACCGATTCAATCCAACTCATTTCATTGCAATCTTTTGTCGTGAGTCCTAATTCGGGGAATTCACGGCGGAGGATCGAGATGGCTTCTTGTTTTTGACCTAGGAAGAAGCCTTTGAATGTAGCTGATATGCCGGTGGATTTAGTCTCCGGCAGGGCGACTCCGACGAAGCATGATAAATATAGGTCACCTTGTAAGTTTGGAGCAACGTGCTGCCACTTGTTTACTAAATCCGCTACGTGCTCCTTCGTGCCGGGTCTCGACACGACGAAGCTCGTGACGGTCTTCGGCACTTTCCGCAACCGGATTTTCCATGCGTAAACCACTCCCCACACGCCGCCGCCACCGCCTCTTATCGCCCAAAACACATCTTCTCCCATTGCTTGCCTGTCTAGTAATTCACCTTTCGCGTCGATCAGGAGAGCATCGATCACATTATCGGCTGCCAGCCCGTATTTCCTCGACAACAACCCGAAGCCACCGCCAGCGATATGGCCACCAGCCCCGACTGTCGGACAAGACCCCGCCGAGAATCCATGAACGCCACTCGACTCGGCAATGGCATGATATGTCTCTCCCAGCGTCGCACCGCCTTCCACCCACGCCGTCTCCGTCTCCAAATCCACCGAAACACGGTTCAGATTCATCAAGTCTATAATAACAAACGGAGCTCCGTCGCTAGCCACCCACGAAGTACCCTCGTAACTATGGCCACCACACCGCACTCTAATCTCCCACGACCCTTGTAAACAACACAACACACTGCGGATAAGCTGATCTCTACTCTCCGGCAAGATAATAGCTGCCGGCTTCGGAATCGTGGGATCGGAAAACCGAAGGTTTTGAATCGAAAAGCTGAGAAGATTATCGTAGTCATGGTTGTGTACGTTGGAGGAAGTGGTGTAGTTGCTGATATTATGACGATTAAGACACGATATTATATTGCTCCGATCAATGGGTGCCGAGAAAGATGAGACAAAGAAGAACAAGAGGAGGAAAAATAAGAGTAGAGGATAAAAGCTCGAATTCGCCATGGCTGCCCTTGAAGCTAAGATTATTAGATTAAGAAATCTTTGAAGAGATGCTGCGGGCTTTAATGGAATCGAGAATAATGCTATACATTGACGACAACGGGAAGAACACAAGGTGAAACAGGAAGTTGCCATGGCCGGCAATTCTATGTTTTGTAATTGAAGTTTAATGCAGACAAAAATGGCTTCCATTGCGATTTTTTAATGATCTTAAAGAGTTCGGCAGCTACCAACAAATGAATTCTGACAGAATTGCTTGCATATGTCTGAATACGATGGAACCCCGCCTACTGCACGCACCTTGTATACTTTCTTCTATAGGGTTAAGGTAATATATGTTCTGTTTTTAATTTTGATAAAATTCACACATATTTTATAAATAATAGGGTGAATTGCGATAACTTTTTATATCAGTTTTGACCCGTTTTATTATTTATATTTGCATTTTTTTTAAAATTATATCTAACTTTTAGTTTTTATTTCATTTTAGTATCTTACCGTTAGAGACTTAATGGATAGACTGACATGGCATAGCTTCGGTGGACGGACAATAAATCCAAATGGTGGACCACGAGAGAATGACAAGTTGACCAACATAGTCCAATTTCAAGCCCATCAGATAATAGACCACGAAGATCGGAGGATAAAAAAATCAAAGAGACCATTGTTGATTTGGAGAGATCAAGGTGTTTTCTGATGAAACGGAGACCGAAATCGCATTCTGGGGGTCGAAAAGCTCTGGGCTGGAAAGTATGGGCTTCATCAGTCGACAAATGCGACGACCGATGATTGCAGACGCGACGACCGGTGAGTCTATCCGTTAAGTTTTTATCGGCGGGTACTAATATGAAACAAAAACAGAACTTTAGGTATGAGTACTTTTAAAGAAAAGAGCATTTAAATATTAAAATAGACCAAAACTGATAATTTAAGTAACCTTAAATAATATTGTTCGACTCGAGCCCCGTAAGGGAAGATCTTTTCTTTTTCATCGGAACCACTTCTTGAGTTTATTAGTATCAAGTAGTTTTTGAATGTTAAGGTAATAATAATATGATATTTAATTATAATCTTTATTAATTATTGGCGATGCGCACACGACACATCCTACGAATATAATTGTTTAAATTCAGATCTCTAAAAAGAATAACAATATTTTATTATCGAAGTTGTTTAATACAATAACTTAAATAAACTTAATATATTGATATATTATATAAATTCAGTTCAAAAACAATCTACACGGCCGTTGAGCTATAAAGTATTGCCGGCCGAGCAGACAATCCAAAGCCTATTATGTTCCATCTCAAGTCTTTAATTTGAACATCACAATGAATTCCAATAATTGTCAGGGAAAGACGATAAATTGGACAAAAGAAGACTGTATTATCGAATTATCTAGATTTAACGATCCAATGATCAAAACATAATAAATCGATAATATAAGTGGTTAAAATATTACTTTTTTCAAAATTAAAAATCAAAATAAAACGGACGAAAATAAAAAGGATCATCGATGTAATTAACCCTTGTCGAACATTTATTTATTTTTGACTGAATCTAACCCTAATCCTTAGGCATTAAACATTTCAAGAATTTTGCCGCCTCATGATCCAATATATAAAGCATGCACCCGGTTTAGAACGAGTTGGCAATGAAAGGGATGAAGAGGGACGAGACGATAACTGAGTGGTTTAAAACGAGTCATGAGTCGACTGATGAGAAGGTGCTACATATCACTGTTGATACTCATCTTCGTTTTCATATCACTTGTTGGTAATAAAATATTTGTGGTGTTTGATTGTGATTTTCCATCAAACTTGTCCTGCACTATATGATGAGAGTTGGAAGAAAATAAAGGTCCATTTTATACTTTTTTTCGTGTTTATGATTGATATATATATTGCATCCTTTAAGTTACTTATTTCGTTGTTCTCTAACTAGTGAGTGTAAGACACTTGATTACAATAGCAGCCACATTATGGACAATGTGGTTATCAAGAAATGGAACAATTTTTTTTAATGGAAAAGCGTTACCCCAAGAAGATATCTTTCAGCTCGTTAAGTTAGGGTCAATATTTTGGATAAAAACATCTTCTGAAGAAGAGATAGAGTGGGAGAGACACTAGCGGCTCAAGTTTAATGTTGACGGGTGAGGAGGGGTGTTGAGGGACCATAAGGGAGTGGTTTGTGCTATGTTTTCGGGCTCGGTCATTGCAAGCTGCGCACTTCAACCTGGTAAATTTGATTCAGGTTGGATTATCCGAAACGAAACTCGAAATAGATCTGAACATGATGAATCAAATTTGACCCGAAATTAAAAAAAATCGAATTAAATCGAAATTGACTCGAAAGTAACCCGAACCGAAAGTAATCTGAATTTAATTTATCTAAACCTAATTTGAATTTAACATTGACCCGATTTTAACTCGATAATCGAGTTAAAACGTATAAAAATACTAGAATAACTTATTAAATTGGCTTTCAATTTATTTAAATCAAATTATGAATCATTAATGAGTTAATTCATCATATGTCCCTAATCTATCATCCTCATTTTAAATTAGTCCCTAATATTTTAAACATTTCAATCTCATCCTTAAATTATGACTATTATTCTAAATTAGTCCTCAAACTTTTGAACATTTCATTTTCATCCCCAAGCTATGATCTTCCTTCTAAATTAGTCCCCAAACTTTCTGAATGTTTCAATTTTATCCTAAATTGTTCGTATATACCAATTACATCTCTTGTTAATAAAATCTTGTTAACAATCGATTATCTGGATAAATTCCTAGAACAATTGGTGAGCTTCACTCACTTATTGTCCTAAACATGTCTCATAATTGTTTAACAGGTCCTATCCCATTTTCATTTGGTGATTTATCGAGCTTGAATCATTAGATCTCTCATCAAACAAGCTCCATGGAAGAATTCTGACAGAGCTAAACTATCTTGGATTCTTGGAGGTGTTCAACCTTTCTCATAATAATCTAGAGGGACTCATTCCTAAAGGCAAACAATTTGACACTTTCACAAATGATTCCTACATAGGAAACTTGGGTTTATGTGGATTGTCATTATCAAAAAGCTGTGATAACGATGAGGGAAGTCTGGCCAAATTTGATAGTAATGACGACGATGATGGATTGAATTGGAAATTTTCAATATTGTGGGATATGGATGTGGATTGGTGTTGGGACTGAGCATGGGATGCATGGTATTCACAACTGGAAAACCATGGTGGTTCGTTAGGATTTACAAGAGATTTGAACAAATATTTGTAAAAAAGGTAGATAAACGAACACTATGACAAATATTCATTGCAGAACAAGTAGTCATTTCATGTCTTGATTATCTCCTATTTTCTTATGACTCGATCGAATGTTCACCCTCATACCAAACACCCTCTCATTTCTTTCTTTTCAATTGTGGTAGATAAAAGCATTACATACTAATTTGAACAAGAGAACAAGGTGAGACTTGTTCTTCGAATAGGTGACAGCCCGCTCCAATTCATGCACCCATCATTTAAGCATCGCACGATCCAATCTACGAAGGTCCAATATATGCCTTCACACCCTAAATAAGAACGTGCACTCAAAGAATAAATAATCCCTCGTCTACTCGGCATCACCACACAACACACACGAGCATCCACCAATGTTCTTATTCTAAGGAGTCGATCCTTAATAGAGAGCCTATTAAGGATCCCAAACCATGTATATTGTACTTGGGGTTTTAAGAAAATTTAGATAAAAAATTATTTTATTTTATTTTAAATTTGTCATGATTTTAGTCTAACATAATTATATATTTTTAATTATGAAAAATAAATTTACCATAATTATTTATAGTCAAGTTTTAGAATCCGTTGAACTTTAAGTAAAATATTCATCCCTCGATAAGATGCTAATAAGGTGAGTTATTATCTTACTAGAATAATCTTATCTAACATTATCTCAAAATACTAATTTAATTGACAATTTATTTATTTTTCTAATATTTTAATTGTTATCAACAATAATAATTATTTAAATAATATTAATTATTCGTAAAGACCTAAAATTAATTATAGTGAGTAAATAAACATGTTTACTTAGAAGTGGCAACACTTTAAAGTTTATATTTTATGAAATGATTTAAATAAATATAAGGGTAAAGCATACACATGGTCCCCCGACTATAGGATACTCCTTTATTAAATCCCTCAATTATTAAAAGTTACAAAATAGTCATTCAACTATAGAGTGTTGCTTTGTTGAGTCATTTGACTATTAAAAGTTACAAAATGGTCACTCGACTATTCATTGTGTTCTAAACTCGTCCTTTTTCGTTAAAAAATCGACAGTCGTCTGAGCTAGATGTTAACATAATGACTGAAATATGACAGCTTTTTGATATTTTAGAATCATATTTTATCATATCACGGTCAACAAATTAACGTTTAGCTTAAAATGCCATCAATATTTTAATAGAAAAGGACAAGTTTGAAACGTTATGAATAGTCGGGTGACCATTTTGTAACTTTTAATGGTCAAGGGACTTAGCAAAGCAATACCATATAGTTGAAGGACCATTTTGTAACTTTTAGTCGAGGACTTAATAAATCAATATCCTATAATCGGGGACCACTTGTATGCTTTACCCTAAATATAAAACCATATAATTCTTTATGAAATAAAGGATAAATTACGTGTTTAGTACCTAAACTATCATTTTTGGTCTATTTGAGTGTCTGTTCAAAATTTAACGTTAAGTTTTTTTTAAAGTTTAAGTACTAAAACAAACCAAAATCGATGGTTTAGGTACTAAATGTGTTAAGTTTTTAATGGCATGATACTAAAATTAAATAAAAACTAAACGTTAGATATTATTTAAAAAAAATTAAAAATTAAGTACCAAAACAGTTTAAAATCAATAGTTTAAATACTAAATACGTAGTTTACCTAAAATAAATTAGGACGGCATTAGTATTAATTATATTATCATTAGATATAGTTTAAAATGTGTCGACCTAAAATGATAGTGATAATGCGGAGCAGATAAGATTGACAATTGGATGGGACCTGCCAGCTCAGCATCCTTTGTCTTATTTTCTTGAATTTTCGACTTAAAAACACGTGCCGAAAAAAATTTAGCAAAAAGCCAGAAAGGAAATGAATTATTTTAATATTTTTATTGCAGATAAAAAATATTATTTAACTTATATATAAATAAATATTAATGTAAAAATAACCACATCAAAAGATTTTAGTAATAAACAAAATAATAAAAATTAGTAAATTCAAAAAGTTGCTTAAATTTACAAAATAATCTAACTAAATATTAATATATTTAATTTATTGGATAACTCAAATTATTTAAGCTCAAACTTAACCAATAACAACACTGATGGTCAAAGAATTTTAAACTCAAATTTAAAATTAGAATTAATATACATTTTATTAATAAATTTAAATAAAAATAGTATTTCACAACTAGTCTATTAAATAAATTCATATTACACTTATCTAAATTTAACATAATTTTAGTTAACAAATGAAGTACAATTATCAAAATGAAATGAACTACTCTTATTTATTTATGCTAAAAAATATCGGAGGTTTCTATATTTTTGAAAAAAATTAAATGGTCATCGTATTATTTTTGCTCTTAATATAATCTTTGAATTAAAAAAATATATTATTGTGATTATTCGACCAATATTTTTTTCGTCGTTGATCGTGACAATGCTAGCGTAGCAGTTTATTGTGTTAACATGACGGTCCATAATACTGATGTAATAGTAAATATGTCATATTTGAATTATCAATTTAGCTCATTTGTCATATATTATTAACTACCAGGAATTGTCATATTAACACCATAGATTATCATGTCAGTACAGTGAGCTATCATATCAATACTATAACAATAAATAACAAAAAATATTAATCAAAAGATTATATTAAATTTATATTCTAGTTTAAAAGAAGAAAAAATAATATAAAAACTATAGTTTTTTTAATTACATAAAGCTATGATGATTTTTGCCATTATTTAATTAATTATTTATTATTTTGCAAACATTCCACAAATTCATATCATAAACTCCGACGAAAACGAAAAGACCAGATTTGAGAGAGAAATTGTCTGAAAAAAATATATGGGAAAGGACTAGAAAGCTTGTTTTTTTTTTCTAGAGTTTAATCAGTCAGCTTTGGCTGGAATTTTGATCTGCTTTTTCTGGGTTCTTGTTTGTTCCATAAGAAAATTTCTCCGTTCATGTTTTTTTCTGTTCTGGACGGCACCTTCAAAATTTGCAGAGATGCAGCCGGCATCGCTGGTAATATAATCTTCCTTCTTCTTCTTCTTCTGTGAAATTGATTTATTTCCTTTAGAAACTAATTTGATTACATTTTTGTTGACATTTTGGTTGTTGGATTGAATTTAAAATGACCCATTAGTATATTCTTGAAGATGAACTGATTTGATTACTTTCTCATTATTTTTTTGATTGAGCTGAAAATGACCCGTTAGTCTATTCTTGAAGATTTTTTAGGTTAAGGGATGATCAGTTTGTCATTGAATCATAAAAAAGCTTGCTTTTGTCCTTGAAAGTGCTGAAAAAGCTATTTTTTTTGGTATAAATTTTCTTTGAGAAACTGGAACTAAAACGAATTGAGTTCGATTTTATATGATCTTTATTAGCGTATCCATTTTCTTGGGAAATCTTATTACAATTTTACAATTCAATGTCTATATGTAGATTTGATGGAAGTTGAAGAAGCACTTCAAACATTGATGTCAATGATGTGTGTTGTTTTTAGGTTTTTTGGTTTGAAATCTTTTTTCTAGCTTATTATCGAGTTAAAACTCGAGTCCGATGAGGATTTAGAGGTAGCTGTTCTAAATATTGGCTGCACCTGTGAAAGCTTGTTGTTGTTGTTCTTCCATAGTCTCTAAGTTCTGAATGGTAATTGTTGTCTCGTTTATGGATACCTTACATTCACCAATGGTGTTATTGAGGCAATGCTCCTTTGATACTCGATAAATCGTAATTATGAATTCTGTTTGATAATTCAATGTCTTCAGTTTCTTTGCTTTATATTCAAGTTTTGATGTGTAAAATCATATGAAGTGGCTTCAATCTGATCTTGATCCTTTTTCATTTCAGGGAACATCTTTGCTTTCGGGCTTTTCATATCGCCCTTGTATGTTCTACTTTCCAAGTTTTAAGAATTTATCATTGAAATGAATAGATTGGCATATCTTATCCTCTAATTAGTTCTGGTTATTGTCTTTTGTTTTAATTTTTCAGACCCACGTTTAAAAGAATTATCAGAAACCAGTCCACCGAGAACTTCTCGGGATTGCCTTATATATATGCTCTCTTGAACTGCTTGATCTGTACGTGGTATGGCACGCCCTTGATATCTTATGACAATGTGCTGGTTATGTCGGTTAATTCGATCGGTGCAGTTTTTCAAATGACCTACATTATCATCTTCATCGTGCATGCTGATAGAGAGAAAAAGGTTATCTTTAGATGCATTTGTTTTTACAGTCCATTTGTTTCTTAAGTGCACTCTGTAATCTGTATTGTTCTCATGTTGCCTGGACTCTCGTGCTCTCGTACGATATGGGGAGCCTCCTCTCGTACCATCGGTCTAGGTGTTGAATATTAAGTACTTTAAGAAAAACGGGAAGTCCGGGTACCATAGGTGTTATTTTCCACTGTCAGTCATATTCTTTGTGTTGATGGCAGATTAAGATGATTGGGTTGCTACTGGCAGTTTTTGGCTTTCTGGCAATCATAGTTGCTGGAAGCCTGCAGATAGCCGACCGAGGAATGCGATGGATCTTTGTTGGGTTATTAAGTTGTGCTTCTCTCGTATCAATGTTTGCTTCCCCGTTGTTTATAATCGTAAGTTGGCTGATCAAATGCGTTTGTAGTTTTCTTTTCTCTTTTACTTGATTGATTTTGGAAATTTTTAAATTTTTTAATGACATGATCTTTGTTCCCAGAATTTAGTAATTCGAACAAAGAGTGTTGAATTCATGCCATTCTATCTCTCCCTCTCAACATTCTTGCTGAGCACCTCGTTCTTCCTATATGGCATCTTTAACTTCGATGCCTTTATTTACGTGAGTTGCCTGTAACATCGATGACAACTTCTTGTTTTCAATTTGATAGTTGTCGTTCTTATCTGTTAACATCACCTCCTTGTTCTTCAGGTTCCAAATGGAATCGGAACTGTTTTGGGGATTCTACAACTCGTGTTGTACTTCTACTATAAAACAAAGTCCGCCGAAGGATCCCAAGAACCACTGATGGTGTCACACGCATGACTCTTGCTTTTTCTTTGAATAGGTAATTACTTCTATATTCTGTTTCTATGCTTCGATGATTTTCTGATGGTATGCTGGTGGAAAGTTTTTTTTGATGTTGAGGTGTATAGTGACCAGAATCTTGATGTATGGTCTCGTTTGTTGTATTTTTCTGAGCGTGTTCCATTTCTTTGTCCGAACAATGAGACCGATTCGATTACATATGGCTACTATTTTTGCATCCTACACATTTGAACACAATTTGTGCTCACTTGAATGCATAAAGGAAACCGAGGTTGATTTCCTGCCATGTCGGTTTTCACTTGTTTAACCTCAAAAACATCACCAATTTTTGGATACGGATGTTCGAGTATGTTCCGGACGCAAATACATAGAGGAAAATTAAGGGTTTATTGATTATCGTACTTTATTTTTAAGTTCTTTATCTTTTGTTTGTATCGTTCTAATTTTGTTCCTTAGCTTGTTTCCAACACCTAAAAGAAACCCTAAAGAACCCTAGTTGTTGCCGCCACCTTCCCCTTTATTCTTCGAGTCTAGAGTTTTCTAGGTTTGATTCTTCAACAAGAGCAACGTTCATTAATCCGCCATCCGTTCCCTATCATACAAACAAATATATATACCGCTCTTCTTTAAGAATAAAAGGAAATGAAGACATGCAAAAAGAAAGGAACTACGTACCGTCCAGAAGACTGTCGTTGGGGTGTCACTAAAAGCAACTCTTGCTAGCCCGATGTCACAAATTTTAAGATTGCAATTTTGCATTAGCCAGTGTATTCTTCGGTTTAAGGTCACGATGGTACACATTGGCTGAAATCAATATATTCCTCAATATATTTCTTCATATTTTTCGTATGTGATATATACATATGCTATACCGAGCCGAGTTCCTTGACTTAGACTTGAAAATCAATCCACTAATTACTAAATTTTTTGAGTTATTCGAGTTGCATTTTACAAATCGCTTTGAACTTGAAATTTTTTCGAGTCAAGTCGAGTTTATAAAATTATAACTCGAAGACATCTAGAGTCAAATCAATTAAAAAAATTGATTTTTTGAATCGAGATAAATTTCTCTCATCCATACGGTCTATTATAAAGGTTGACTATATATGGAGTATAACTTACACGACTTCTTTGTAAACGTGTTAATTCGTTGACTTACAAAGTTTCGTCAAACTAATTTAACCCATAAATGAACACTGATGTTGTTGTTACCTCATTGTTTTTATTTCCTTAATGAGCATATGAGACCATTACTAACCATCATTTATCATAGACTTATGTCATTCACAATTTTATGTTAAATTTTACTCAATCTAAAATATGTCTCTCTCACAATACTTATATTTGGAAGATAACGTGTCCCTTTTTATTATGAATTTACAACTTTTGTAAAGTTTATTATCATACAGTTATAGCATTGGATTTTTTGTACGAGTATGTCTATCTTAAAAAAAAAATTAAAACTTTTAAAAATATTAAAAGATCTCTCAAATTTTGAAAACTTTATCCCAATTCTTATACTCATGTCGGCTACCTCTGTTCGTCATTATTGTCGTCGACGAACTTCCAACTAACTAAACTATTACTGATGACCCAACCACCTTACGTCCTAGCCAGCGAAAGCCACTATAATCGAAGATTTAAATCTGACAACACCTAAAATAAAAATCACGAATCGAAACACTCGACAGTTCCTACGACATTCACGACAGCATAAGCAAGGATGATTGACAAAGGCAACGTTGAGGATGATGTCGACGATGGCGGCCATGGTTGGTAATGGAGGTTAGGGTTAGTGATTTGAGACTTTTATGGATTTGAGGTTTTATAATTTTTTAAAAATAGGGTTTTTTATTAAATTTAATAATTTTTTATCTTTTAAAAAATTTAAATTATTGAGCGTGACACAAGTCACTTAACGGATTTTTAATGCCCATTATGTCCCGAACATCTAAAATGATAACATTTTTAACACTAGGCACCAAGATGAATCAAAAAAAATACTTTAGACACATATTTATGAAAAAAAAACAATATAATTTGAACACTTATTTTATATTTAAATCATTTTTATAACAGCAGTGATTACGATAATAACGAATTAAAAATTAAGTAATTATATTATAAAATTTAAAAGTTCGGTGTCCAAAACGCAAGTACCCTCAGAGTTCATGCTGTTTATATGGTTTATCCTAAAGCCAAAATCGTTGTCTTCTGAAGTGACATACATTTTTCTGGGTTTTGGGTTTAGTTCTTCTTTTGTTGAAGCAAAAAGGGGGGAGAACTCATGGATGAGAACAATCCGATAATAAGAAAAAAGGATTACATTTTGCTGAAGGATTTCAAAGTGAAAACTGAAGTTGATGAAAAGGGTTTTATTTTATGCTTCTGGGTTTCTATCTTCAACTTCTATTCTGTATATCCCAAAACCATTCTTGAACAGGTTTAGCAACTCAAAATTTGATCTTTTTGTGTTAGGGAAATCACCCATTTCTCATTTCTTGTTGTTTTTTGTTCTGATTTTGTGTTTTTTATGTGATTTAATGAGTAGTTTACAAGAAGAAATTGTTAATCACGTCCTAAAAATTATCTTTCTTGGTTTGATTTATTTTCTGTTTGGATGTTAGGAAAATACCCATTTCTTATTTGTATGTTCCTTTTAATGATTCGTGATTGTTTTGTAGCTTCAGCTCTCCTGTTATCACCTACTAGAGCAACAATCTTCATTATTTTGATGATCTTTTTCTTAAATTTGTATTAGTAATTTACCTTTATTAGAGTTTTCGTTAAGTCCGACTTTTTTTTATAGGTGTATGCAGAGATTAACAGCAGGTCCCCTCTACTTGTTCTAAACGGAAAGACATTGATGCTTTTACCATTGACTTACCTACTCAATGAAGCTCCTGGTCCCGGAAACACTGATTTACGATTGACCGCCGAGATTGAACAAAACCAAAACAAATGGATACATGTCGGATACGAGGTATCATATGTTGAACCTTTATTTGTAGTTTCATATGTTGCTTTAATATCTTGCCATGGTGTTTGAAATGTTCGAGATAGTTTTCGGAATGAGTGACCATAATGGACTGGTTTTAATTTGGTCTGTTTAGTAGCAGAAAATGTTTTTCTAAGGTTTTACTGCAGTATACTTCATTAGATGAAAATTAGTTTTGTTGCCCTGGCTATTATCATGTATGCCGATTTTTCTGTTTTTTCTTTCCTTGTCAGGTCTCTTCTGATTTTGTGCGGCTTTGCGTTAATGGGGAGATTGCAGGAGAGCGACATCTTTCTTGTAGTTCAAGGAAGAGGACATTGATTGATATTCGTGGCGATAGAAGTTTTCATGCTTTCATCCATGAAGCAAAAGTCTTGCCTTCAACGTTCTCCATAAAGGACCAATATGTGAAGGTGGCTTACTTGTAGTTCTCATGTTTCCTCGATGTTTTTCCATAGCATGCAAGTTTACCTTAAGGTATAGAAAACTGATGCAAAAATATAATACCAGGATCCACCTCTAAGATTGTCAATCGATAAGTCTACTATCTCTGTTAATGGATGCATTTTTTGGGAACAAATTTACAAATATCTCTTTTGATAGGTCTTCTTTGTATGCATTGTTCATCGGTCCTCGTGGTACCTATGTAAATCTGATTTTGAGGCTTGGTTTCTTACTACGACGTTTCCTTGTAAAAGCATGATTCCTCACAATTCTGGAAAACAATATCAAAGATCAAGTATCCGAACAAGAAGAGAGAGAGGGGGAAGAAAAGAAAACCCCCCAAAAAATCAAATATCTTTCGGATGTTTGTTTTCAATTTGTCTCAAATGTATCCGTCAATCCCTACCGACCTAAGTTCTAAATCCTGCAAGCATCAGTTTCTTATAGTATAGGCTTATGTTAATAGTTGTTTTCGTAATCCTTTCAAGATTAAGCTTCGGCTCATCACCTGCAGCCACATAAAACATCCTTCAAAGACGACAAGTTTTCATATTGCTAGTTAGATGTTGACTTGTAGACAAGTGTGTATATGTGTATACTATGCCATATGTGTTGTATGAAATATGAATAAATAGTATTATTTTCTTTTGTTAAGAAAATTCATTGAGGTTACAATTGTTTCAGGACTTTGAGGTCCAACGGAAAATTACCGGATGCGAAGATTACATGACCCAAGAAAACTTTGAGAAGATGTGGTGTTGGTTATACCCTGTAGCTTTTACATTATCGAGTGACCGGATAAAGGCAATGTGGAATTCTACATCCCCAAAGTGGATAGAAGGATTTATAACGAAGGAAGAAGCTGAACTCTCACTTCAAGGTCCGAGTGGCCTGCGAGAGCCTGGGACATTTATACTTAGGTTTCCTATTTCAAGGAGTTGGCCCCATCTAGACGCTGGTAGCTTAGTTGTGACATATGTCGGCAGTGATTACGCTCTCCACCACTTGCTGCTTTCGATCGATAATGTATATAGGTGTGTGTTTCTTGCTTTATCAAATTTCATTGTTGTCCTAATTTGAAATGTTACTAAGGATGTACTCGTTTTAAATATATTTATTATCTATATTCAAATCCTTAATAATTTCTTTGCTACACTGTACACGATGTTCGTCCGTCTGAATATAGACAAAACAAACAGCATAATTAGGAATAGTCATGATATATTTTACTTGAATCTGTATGTTCAGCTTTTGGATTGAGTTTTCCTCCTATGTTACTTGACTCGGTATGAATGTCTTGCACGACCTTTTTTGATTTAAAGGGTGTTTGGAGGGTTCTTCAGGGTTGAACATTAGTGGATACTTTAGGTACCATTGTTTAGTTACACTTCTAAACATTTATCATTATCGTTATCAGAAGAGTTTATGGATAAATTGTTTCATATCCTTTCGATATATGGATTGAAAGAGATTTCTTGTCTGCATTTTGCTTATAGTTCCGGAGCACTGGAAATGAACGTCGAAGTAAAACCTCTGCATGATGTGCTACTGGAAGAACCCGAGCTCTCTTGTCTGGGAAGGTAGAAAACACCTCCACTTCAATTTCCTTCTTTGTGAACTAGACGTGATGCTAATTTTTCGTTTTTAACCCGTAAAAATGCAGGGTAGTGAGATGCCATTGACCATTGTTCGGATGTAGCATTGTGTTTATGTTTTTAGTTCGCGACCACCATTGCTGTTACACCCCACTGCTAGTTTAGGTTTGCTCAAGAGTCAAGCCCCTTTTCCTTTATAAAAAATATATGTAATATTAGAAGCCGAGGCAGTGTCGTATCGTATCGATATTGTAAACAAGCATTGCGCTGATGATGACATTCATGTACCATACATGTTGACAAAGAAATCAAATTTAAAAAGCTTTTTTGATGTAAATTTGATCACTTTGTTTTGTCCATGGTACCCGTACTCTGTTTTTCAAGTATTTTTGGCCGAAATGTATTCGGATATAGATACCAAATACGAAGTACGAGAGTACGATCTCCCTCATATATACGTTGTATTTGGATGATAAAATAATAATATTCAGATTCGTGTCCATTCGAAATTTCAGAGGACAAAGATAAAAGGATCTAAAATCTCACAAAAATCCAAAAGGATCAAACTTCTGCCGCCAAAGAAATTCCAGGGGTATGATAATTTCTTGTATTTTAAGCACATTGATCATTGCATGGATCATTCGTTAAGAACGAAAGGAACCAAGAACTAAGAACGAAAGGAACCAAGAACAAACATGTTATAAAACAGATTCAAACGACAACTCCAAATCCTTACACAAGAAATCACTAATTTTTTGTGCTGGGTTTGTTTTGGATTAGCTAATGGAAATATTTGATGCTCAGCAAGATACCAAATCAGGTTTTTCTTCCCTGTGCCTTCTCTCTTTTCCTGTTTCGATGTTCATTTCTTGTTTATCGCGGTTATAGATGTAATGAATGTTGTGCAGTAGAAGCTCAAACACCTCATCAAGAGGAAGCAATAACCGTCGCCACCAACCAGCATCCGGTATTCAGACCCGAAAACCGCTGGAAATGGTGGCTTCTTGTGGCACTCAACATCATCTTCCTCCTCGCCGGTCAATCAGCAGCCGTCCTTTTAACTAAATTCTATTTCAATCATGGCGGAAAAAGTAAATGGTTGGCATCTCTCACGCAAACCATCGGTTTTCCTATCCTTTATCTCCCCCTCCTCTTTTTCCGCTCCGTTAACATGTCTCCGAGCTCGTTGAATAACATAAGCCATTGTCTGGTCTACTTTTCGCTCGGTTGTCTGCTTGCCATAGATGACCTATTGTATTCGATAGGCGTCGAACCACTCTCTGTTACGACATATAGTCTCATTTGCGCAAGCCAGTTGGTATTCAACGCGATCTTCTCATTCATTATCAACTCTGAAAAGCTCACTATCCTGATACTTAACTCTATAGTCTTCATTACAATATCGGCTTCAATGGTTGCGGTTCACTCCGACGCATCCAAAGATAAAAATGGGAAACCTCCGGTACGAGAGCAAGAACGTATCATCGCGATTTTATCAACAATTGGTGCTTCAGCAGGCTATGCTTTAATGCTTGCTCTAACCCAGTTCTCATTTGAAAAAGTACTAAAAAAGGACACATTCCGCGTCGTGTTCGAAATGCAGATTTACACTTCCATCGTCGCCACTTGCATTTGCGTGCTCGGGTTGTTTTTGAGTTTGGAATTTATGGATTTAAAGTCCGAGATGGAGAAATTCGACAAAGGGAAGGCCAGTTACGTTGCGAGCTTGATTGGAACATCGTTGGCTTGGCAGCTTTGTACAGTGGGAGTTGTGGGATTGGTCTATTTGGTGTCCTCTTTGTTCTCAAACGTTGTTAGCATGCTTAGTTTGCCATTCGTTCCCATTGTTGGAGTGCTGTTTTATGGTGAAAAAATGGATGCAACTAAGGTATTGGCAATGTTGTTCACTCTTTGGGGCTTTGCTTCTTACATCTACCAACAATATCTTGATGAAAATAGATCAAAGGAAAACAAATCTGATCAAATCGAAGATTCTAGATCCGAACTTAACTTAATCGATTCGGACGATATTCAGTAAATTTAAAGTTAAAACACTACATCTGTAACATTTTCCTCATTTTCAGTTGTATCTGTAAGCTTTTTATTTCAATTGTCTGCAAATTTATTTCACAATTTCATGTTATATTTGGATTTGGATGAAAATATTGCAGAGAAATGTCTAATATGAGTATTTCAAAGACTCTTAAAAGAGTAATATATCGATGTTTGTATCCGATAATATATCGGTCATGTATATTTCATGAAAAGTCGGAGCAATATAGATAATATCGACAAACAAGTTTAGATGTTCCACTTCCTTTGAAGCACTTGGCAAATTCTTCCTGCAATGTTTTCTGCACTCATTACAGGACCATTATCAACTGCAAAAACCAAGCTAAGATCAGAATCATCAGACATGATTATATGTATATATATGTTATACCTCTAAGATTTTCATCGATGGCATTACCAACTACACCAGTCAACTTTCCAATCTGACAATTTTCAAATTAAATTATCATCAAAAATCATAAGTTTGAGAGGTTAATTGAATCATGGAAGAAATACCAATTATATGATATGAAATCTGCAAATAGTTACAAGTGTAAACCTACCACTAAAACGTAAGTTATATATGGATAAAATGAGGAGGCCATCATGGCATTGAAATCGGGTCTTCTTTCTAAACCACATCCTGAAACATGTCAAAGATACGTATTTACACGAACATACACGAAAGCAAACATAAACCGTTCCTACTTATAAACTCATCTAGAGGCATTTTTGTTCCCAATATGACATGAAAGAACTAAAATCACTGCTAACCTATGACGCGGAATGTAGAAAATAGATCCCTGAAGCTATGGCTATGATTGAAGCTGCGAATAACGGGGAAACCATGATTGCATGATCGTCCTGTTTCGAACAATTTTCCTGTAAAAGGAACTGATAAATTGCAAAACCATTCGTTTAAGCTTAAGCAACAGGTTCTATATACAGTCGATGGGAAGAAAATTACTTAAAATTGTCTGAAATTCTTCCAGTGTAAGATTAGCAAAATGAATATTCCTAGCACGACTAGGAAACATTCGAAACGCTCCTTCTCCTTCGATGTTGAGATAGATCGGCCCAAGTATACCGTGTTCCGCCAAACGGGTAATCATCAACCTCTTCAGAACCTAAGGATGAACAGATCAAACCCTAATATATATATATGAAGAAAGTAGGTGAATTCAAAGAAATGGGTTTGTTTGTTGTAACTAAAACCAAAGAAAGTTTAAATCTTGAACCTTCAAATATATTGTAGCAGATTGTGTTGAAAGAGCATCATGGGGGGCATTTGGCTGTGGAAAGAGACAATGGAAGAATCATTCATTGTTCCTTGCAGCACAAGCAAACCAGAACCATAAACAAAGGCATACACTTTTCTCCATTTTTTGAAGGATTTTCTTGTTTCTTTACTTTTTTTTTAAGTTCTTTATTAAATTCACGTTCTAGAAACCATACTATACTATAAATATGTATATGAATATATGTATGTATGTATGTATTGAATTTGAGAGAGATTGTGGAACCTCGTTGTCATCCTCAGGGATTAAGCGGTCAAGCACGAAGATGACGGGACGAACGGGAGAGACGACGGGGCGAGGGGGAGAGACGGCGGGACGATCATGAGCAGGCGGTTGTCAATTCTTCCGTTGATTACGAGCAGTTTTTCTGGCATTCATCGTTGTGGAATTATCCGATCTTCAGTCTTAGGTTTACTGCTACGTAAAGTTTTATGGAAAGAAATGGAAATAGAGTAGGGTTTTCTTGCTAATAGGCTATTTCTTTTTACGTGTATGAAAGAGACAATCTGACAAAGATTAATATATGCAATTTGGAATACAAATAATTCAATATAATTAAATATTTTAAAAAATATATGTATCGCATTGTATATTTTGTCAAAAAATATATATTACATTAATATTTTTTAAAAAGTCAATATTAATTACATTACACATTTTATCAAAATACTAATATTAAATATAATATCATCCTTTAATTTAATTATGTACCATCAATTTTATTAATAAGTAATAAAGAATTTTATTTAAATACTTTAGAGTAAAGTACACAAATGGTCCCTTGAGCATAGGGTATTGCTTTATTAAGTCCCTCGACTATTAAAAGTTACAAAATGATCATTCGATTATAGAGTGTTATTTTATTAAATCACTCGACTATTAAAAGTTCAAAATGGTCGTTCGACTATTCATTATGTTCTAAACTAGTCATTTTTTGTTAAAAAATTATTGATCGTCTGAGCTGAACGTTAACATTATGATTGGGACATAGACATGATAGTCGTTTGAGATTCTGAGATCAGATTTTATCATATCATGATCAACATGTTAACGTTCAACTCAGAATGCCATCAATTTTTTAATTGAAAATAACGAGTTTGGAGCATAATGAATAGTGGATGACTATTTTATAACTTTTAATAGTCAAGAGACTCAACAAAACAACACTCTATAGTTAAAAGACTATTTTGTAACTTTTCACAGTCTCTATAGTTAAAAGACTATTTTGTAACTTTTCACAGTCGAGAGATTTGATAAAGTAGTACCCTATTATCAAGGATCATTTATGTACTTTATATAATATTTTAATCTATTAACTTTGATATTTGTTTGACGTTGTCTCATCCTGTCTCAAGGCTTACTACTGTTTTATATTATATATTAATTTTTTTTATTAATCTAAGATGAGTGTAAGGTAATATCTTTTAAAAACTCAACTATTTGATATACATTTAATATATATGATGCTCGAATTTTAAATCTCAAGAAATAATAATAAATTTTAACTATCGAGATCATTTAATTCATGCATTAAAATATTATTTTATTAAGAAACTAAAAAAAAATAAGTTATTTTTATAAAAATATATTTTAGAAATAGAAGAAATATCAATAATTTCCCCCTTTGGTGTGAACTCTAAAGAGAGAAGTGTATTTGCAACTACTTCATTATCAAATTCAGTTATAATTATCATAAAGTGGATATATATTATTTCCATTCAATTGTAACCTTTTGACTTTCATTTCTTTTCAATGATGGCGATCTACTTCAATCAACCATCAAATATCTCTTTCCCACTTTCACTATCTTCCAATCTCTCTCCCACCCAGATCCCGCCATGCCAAAGCGATCGAAACCCAAGCTTCCAATGCATGCCCTCGTGGCCGCCATTGTTGTTCTACTTCAATTCCCGCAACTTTGCTTTGCAAGAACCAGAAACAGATATTGCAGCCCAGCTGTTTGTGGAAATGTCTCAATCAGCTACCCTTTTCGATTAACCACCCAACCTCCCAACTGCGGCGACTTTCCGTTCGAAATCCACTGCGACAGCAGCAACCGCACCGTTTTAGTCACGAACCAAGGCGTATTCTACGTCCAAAACATCTCGTACGAGCGCAATACGGTCCGAGCAATCGACCCGAATCTCGCCGTCGATGATTGTTCCCTTCCTCGCGGCACGTTGTCGTTCTGGGATTATATATACCGTAATTTACCGTATTCTTTGGTTTTCCCGTTCACTTCCATGTATCTTGTGAACTGCTCTATGCCGGTGAATTCCTCTTCGTATATCGACGCCTCTCGTTGCTCCGTTAACTCCTCCGGTTCCGATCCACCACGGGATTCGTACGTTTATTTTCTAGATGAGAGAACTCATCCTCATGATTTCGATGAATCTTGCAGAATCGAAGCTTTGGTTCCAATTATGGTTGAGAGTATCAACGATCTTTTAAATTCGGATATCTACAATCTGTTGAAACAGGGGTTCGAATTCTCTTGGATCTTCCCTTCTAAGTCACTGGAGGCCACACCATTCCGAGCTTTGTAAGTAAACTTCCGTCCAAAATTGAATTTCAATAAATTGACTTAGGATATAATTATGAAATGCATAACTAGGAACCAACTTAGTAAATATTTGAAAAAAACCGTTTTTATATCATTAATATTATTGTAGTAGTGTTCTTGTCTTTCTATATTTTTATGCAATATTTGACGAAAGGAAGGATTTTTTTCTGGAATCGAATTCAAGATTGAAAATTTGATACAAGTTTTTCAAGCTTGATAAAGAGGGAGTGAAGTCAATGTTTTGTTATTTAAACAGGATACTTTAGTGTATTCAAGATTGAAAATTTGAGCGACCTCAATTGTTAAAGGAAATGTTATTCTTGAGTTCTATGTTTGAGTAGTTGTGTTTGTAGGGTACGTGTCCATTGTCAATGACTAAGAATGATTTTGAAAAGATATTATCCTATAATCATCTTATACTATTTTAAAAAAAGAACATGTATATATATTTTGTCGACCGAGTCCTAGTACTGTTGACATGATTATTACTGCAACAGTCAATGAGTTTAAGTGTACTTAAACGCATAATATCCTCTGATTTCAAGATTTGAAGGTATCCAAATAGTTTAGGAATATGAGAAATTTTCCCTTAAATATTTACAAATGTTTTTCAGGATAAGGAACTTGAAATATGCCTTGCAAAGTTATGCTGATAGCTTCATCTATTACTTATTCAAAGGACCTCATGTTGCCAACAATTCATATTATCCACCTAACAGTATGGTTAATCCCCAAATTTCCTTATTATTTATAATTTTTCTCTTCCTACATTCAATTAATCATTATTTCTTACTTTTCTTCATTTTTTACCTTTGTAGGTACTTATATTATATGTCTTCTAATAACAGGTAAGCTTTAACATTTAGCCAAAATGTATTATTAGAGTCAATTAGATTGTATGTATGTATGTATGTAGACTGATATGTTCAAGTTTTCATTTTCTTTTGAAGGAGGATTTATCATATCAAGAACTTTGCCTGGGATAGTTTGCTTGATTGTTCTTGTCATATACAAATGGCGAAGAAGACATTTATGCGCGGATGATACTATTGAGGAGTTTCTTAAACAGCAGAAGGATTTAATGCCGATAAGGTATACGTATTGTGAAATAGAAAGAATGAGTAATGATTTCAAGGATAAACTAGGCGAAGGCGGTTACGGTTCGGTGTTTAAAGGAAAGCTTCGGAGTGGTTATTTTGTAGCCATAAAGTTATTGGGGAAGTCCAAAGGTAATGGCCAAGATTTCATCAATGAAGTTGCTACGATCGGGAGGATTCATCATGTTAATGTAGCCAAACTCATTGGATTTTGTGTTGAGGGATCGAAACAAGCTCTTATATATGATTTCATGTTGAATGGATCTCTCGATCGGATTTTATTTGCAAAGGAAAATAAGATAGATTTAAGTTGGAAGAAGATGTTTGATATTGCGTTTGGGATAGCTCGAGGGATCGAGTACTTGCATCGAGGATGTGATATGCAGATTCTACATTTCGATATCAAGCCACACAATATTCTTTTAGATGAGAACTTCACACCAAAAGTTGCAGATTTCGGTCTTGCTAAATTGTTTTCAGTGGATGCTAGCATAGTGTCCATAACTGCAGCACGAGGTACAATAGGATACATTGCTCCTGAACTGATCTACAAAAACCTCGGAGGCATCTCGTATAAAGCCGATGTTTACAGTTTCGGAATGTTGTTGATGGAAATTATCGGAAGGAGGAAGAACATGAGCACGGCTGTTGAACACGAAAGTCAGAAATACTTCCCGTCATGGATTTATGATCGGTATTATCACGGCGGGGATGTAGATTTGGGGGAAGTTACGGATGACGAAAAGATCATGGTGAAGAAGATGGTGATAGTAGCTTCTTGGTGTGTGCAAATAAAGCCTAACGATCGTCCTTCGATGAGCAAAGTGTTGGAGATGTTGGAAACCGATGTTGAACTCCTCCAAATGCCGCCGCAACCTTTTCAACTTCCGTTTGAAGTACCAACAGATCAATCCCATGGTTCAAACACAGAACTATCCCATGAAAATAGTTCAACTGGAGAGACATCTGCATTGCTTTATTCTTCAAATGAAATTAGCATAGACATATTGTAAGCCATCTAACCTTTTAAATATAAATTGAACATGGATGGTTTAACTCTGTGTCCTAGTTTTGCTTTTGTTCATTTATTTTATATTATAATGAGGGATTGAAGACATGATTTCATGTTAAAGGATAAAATTAAAACATATTAAGAGAAAAAACATATTATTAATAAAAAAAATATATAAACTATATGAGAATTAAATTTTTTTAGGGGCTACTGTCACTGTCGATCCCTCTTTATCATTCTATGATCGTAATCATATTTAAAAGATAAGGTAAACTATCCCAATAATTTTTTTATTAATCTGGGGCAAGTACAATGCAATATCTATTTAAAGATAACTCTCATCCCTTCGACATTGAAGGCTTACACCCCTGACATCTATGGTGCTTGAACCCGGATTCTCAAGGAATAACAACAATTATTTTACCACGAATGTCACTTGGTTCATGCACCACAATTATTTTTAGATCTTAAGGTTTGTATTATTTTTATCATTTAACTTTAAAATTTTCTAATTTTAATATTAAACTTTAATTTTACCTTCAAATAAACCTTGAGTTATTAGCTCATTAATAATTGGATGGTGTCACATTAAATGTGAAAGTTAAACATTTTTATTTTATCTCACTATTTTATTCTTTAAACTTAGGGTTTTATCTTCACTTATTTTTAACCGTTTTCGAAAGCTGTATTTCTTTTACATCTTTTGCGGCACCCTATATATTGATGAATTTGTTTAATCATTTTTTAGTACTTTGTTGATTTAAAATTTGCTCAAATCCCTTTAAAATTTATGAAATTAAATATTATATATTATCTTTTGAACTTTAAATTTAAACATTTAATAAGTCATTGTATTTTTTTTTAAAAATTCAATATTTTGATCTCTGCTAATATTTAATCTTAGTTTCATCCCTAGGTGTGAGTCCAAGATTCGTCGAGCTTCTGACAAAGTAAATTGGAGACACGACTGCGGAGTATTTGTTGAACCCACATTTGTTGCATCACTTTCAATTATGACATTATAATAGCCCAACTCACTACAAGGAAACAGGTCTGTAGCGGCGTTTGAAAAGTAAACGCCACTAATTTTATGCATATTGCGGTGTTTAAAGCTAAAACGTCACAAAATGGTAACGGCGTTTTTGAACAAACGCTGCTATAAACTTGTATTTTAGTTACATTTTTCTAACAAACATCTTATAGACTCGTATTTTAGTGGCGTTTTTAAGAAAACGTCACTAATGATGAACGCTTTTATAGTATTTGTCAATGAAAATGCCACTAAATACATAATCAATAGCGGCGTTTTGTGAAGACAAATGTCACTAAATATGTAGTAAATAATGGCGTTTATGGTAAAATGCCACTATATATCATAATATAGCGGCATTTGAGTAAAAACACCACTAAAGCCAAGGTAATTCCCAACATTTTTATCTAAAACGCCGCTATATATTGCAACCTTTTGTTGCGTTTGTTCCCAAAATGCCGCTATATGTCGCGACATTTTTTCTAAAAATGCCACTATATGTCGAGACCTTTTGCGGTATTTTTTATCCACAAACGCCGCTAACTGTTGCGGCACTCATTATACTGGCTTTTTTGTAAGTGCCAAGATAGTTTTTAGCGGCGCTTAAAAACATAACTAAAAACCTACTTTTTTGTAGTGACTCCACAACCCTACCAGCCAAAACCAACCCCTCAGAATCCCGTAAAATAGACCCCACAACCAGTGACATAGAGAAGATCGGGGTACCCTTAATGCGTGTAGTACCAATTCCTCCATCCTTCCACATAGTCTACAATGCCCATCTGAAACTTCTGCTAGGAATAATCTACGACCGAAAGACAACGCTTCATGTGCATCTCGCCACCCGAACAACCAAACACAAGGTAAAGTGTCGAGGCGGGAAAGTCCCAGCCACAGGCGAGATTCTGGAACCGGATGACGCTGCTGTCGTGACATCCATGAATATCCCAAGCAACGGGAGTATGTCCCTAAAGAATGGCCAGACCAGGCCAAGCAGAACTGTAGTTTGAAAAACAGTTCAGTTCTCCTACTCGAGCTTAAATTGGACCGATCCAATAGATAATTAAATTATTTAAACATAAAGAATTTATATTAGTATTTAATATTTTATAACTAAATTAAAAAGATTATAGTATGATTTTATAGTTTATATTGTTTTTCATATAAAAGAGTTTACGTGGCCTAATGGATAAGGAGCTTGCCTCCGGAACTAAAAGGTCGTTTTAGTAGGAGATTGCCGTGTAATCAGTCGTCGAGATGAAGCATTTACCTAGTTGTGTTGTACTCTTTTCCTCCAAATAAGTTTAGTGAGGTTTTTAATCAGGCACACAACTTAGGTTAAGGAATTGTACCCTTAATAAAATCAAAATTGTCCAGGAAAAAGAAAAGATTGCGAAATTTATGGAACCAGATCAAACAGAAATATTATCTGTATCTATTCATTTCAAATTTGAAAGTTCCTTTGAAATTGTTGTTTTACAACATCGTCGCCTCTGGTTTTGACAAACAGCCATAGATAAGATAACACTGGTGAAGTTGTCATTGTACAAAAAAAAAAAAAAAACTTTGCAGTAACTGGAGCAGTGACTAAGGTCATGCTTGTGGAATCAATTGGGAAGGTCAATCATGGTTCATTATTCATGAAAAGGTTGGTATTAAAATGTTTGCATTTGACTCATTTTTCTTTTTTTAGAGTTGTTTTCCACGAAACTCACTTAAAATTTATGAAATTCCATTTACAAGCTCAAGTGTTAATACTTTGATCTCCTAAACACATCAAATCCTTGACCTTGTCTAATTCTAATAAATTTCTTATGTATTCAACTCCAAATCCCTTATGTAACACATCAAACTCACAACAGAAATGGCTGTCCCTTGTTCCCATATATAATGGGGTAAGGGGGAAGTAAGATAGTAGGCTACCCCCAACACTAGGTTGAGAGCAGCTTCCGTAGGAGACCTCCAAATTATGAAATGCCCTCCATGGGACTCGATCCCACAACAGAGGTGAACCTAAACATTTGTTTGGAGGGGATCAAAATTAAATTATAAAAAGTTTAGGGGCTAAAGTTATAAAAGAAATACCTTTATTTATAGTCACTAAACTATAGAAAAAATAGGGTAAACTACCTTTATTTATAATCACTAAACTATAGAGATGATTATATTTTGACCATTGAACTAATCTTTTTATCAATTAGACTACTAAACTTTCACTTTGATTTCAATCAAGCCATAGAATGTTAGCTGTTAACGGAATTGCTGACGTGTTAGTTAAGCAAATTTTCTGACAGTCTTGTCTTAGTTCTCTAATGCAGGTGATGATGCAAGGGCAGGTTAGCTTTCCATAACTCTCTTTTTCTTGCTTTTGTAGTAATCCCCTATTTTTATAGTAATTAGTGCTATTTAGAATTAATGTTTTGTTAGGCTTGGGATGTGAAACACATTACTAAATGGCGAGCTTGAAGAGGATGTTTACGAGCATCAACCTCCTGACGTTGAAAGAGAAGCATCAGATGGTTCACAACTTATCTATAAGTTGCAAAAAAGCCTTATATGGGTTAAGGCGATCCCTTTGGTTATGAACCATTATTGAGGTTTAATGCAAGCCATTAATCTCCTCATCGTTTTCCCTTTGAATTGGCATAATTTAACATCGTTTTCCTATTAAGATAGTCATTACAAGATAGAAATACTCAAGGGAACGCTGCCATTGTAGAGGATGCAGGAAAACATAATACATACAAAAAAAGCACCCACGCGGCATATATAAAAAACATCTATAGAAAAGGGTCTGCCTACCACCATGCATTGAGGTTTTCTGCTCTGTCCACCGCTTGTTTTGCAACAAAAATCTGTCAACGACTTCTCTTTTTTACCTTTTTCGAAGATCTTTGTCGAACTCTTTCGTAGATCCTAATGAACCACAATGGTCTTCCAGTTGCAAATACAATGTATCCCGTACTCAGTCCCAGTACCAACCCACATCCATACCCCATCAATATTGAAAATTTCCAATTCAATCCATCATCATCGTCATCACTTTCAAATTTGGTTGGAGTTGCCTCATCATTGTTACAGCTTTTTGATAATGAAATCCCGCATAAACCCAAGTTTCCTATGTAGGAATCATTTGTGAAAGTATCAAACTGTTTGCCTTGAGGAATGGGTCCCGTGAGATTATTCTTAGAAAAATTTAACACTGCTAAGAACTTAAGATTGTTCAACTCTATCGGAATTCTTCCATGGAGTTTGTTTGATGAGAGATCCAATGATTCAAGCTCGGATATATCACCTAGTGATGATGGAATATGACCTGTTAAACAATTATGAGAGAGGTTCAGGACAATAAGTGAGTGAAGCTCTCCTAATGTCTTAGGAATTTCCCCGTAGAACTGATTGTTCGAAAAATCAATAGCTGTCCATATGGTTAGCAGTTCATCAAACTCAAATTCCGACCCTTTAAATGTAAAAGATAAACCAATGGCATAATTCCACACTCCAACTGCTGATCCGTCCGTCATGTACTCTGGTTTTTCTTTCTTTTCATTCGCTTCTCTAATGGCATGCAAATTTTCAAAAAACTTCCCTGGTAAATAGCCACTGAAGTTGTTATGAGAAATATCAATGAGACGTAAACGAGTGAAGGAAACTGTAACTCCTGAGCTCACCACTTCACCATAGAATCTGTTCGATCTCAGGATAAGAACTTGTAGTTGATCCAAATTTCCCAACCACTTTGGGAATGTGTCATTCAAATAGTTGTTTCCAACATCGAGAAGCTTCAACTCTTTGCAATTACCCAATGATCGTGGTAGTGACCCATCTACTTGGTTGCTGCTGATTCGAAAACTGTGTAATGAGCAACCTCTATCAAAATTTTCTGGTATTTTACCATGAAAATTATTCTTCTCTAGGTTTATATGTGAAAGAGAACTCATGTTTCCAATGCATTCTGGGATTTCTCCATCCAAACTATTCTTGTATAAAAAGAGAACCTTAAGGGAACTCAGATTGCATAATGAGGAAGGGATTGGGCCTTGCAGAAAATTTGGAATAGAGTTAGAATTATGAATTTGGATAATCTTTGAAACACATAAATAATGTTTGTGATGTAAAAACAAAATATTTTGATTAAATAATTTCAGGATTTATATGTTTGAGTTTAATATTTCTTTGCATAAAAAAACACAATGAAAGGGAAAATTTTAAAGCTTATTAATACTAGGGTAAACTACAACAAATACCACCGAACTAGGCGTTGTATCGTTTATACCACTGAACTTTCAATTTTGACAATTGTAGCACTGAACTTTAATTTTCGTTTCAATTATACAATTGGGCCGTTAAATCGTTAACAATCATACAAAACAACTTCAATTTAGTAAGGTATTTACATCGGCAGTAGGCAGCCACGTCATCGTGTCGTTAGAGCTTCAATGTTTCAGTGATATAATTGAAACGAAAATCATATTTCAGTGCTATAATTGACAAAATTAAAAGTCCAGAAGTATAAACGATTCAACGCCTAAAATTCAGTGGTATCTGATGTAGTTTACCCTTAATACTAACATGTAACCAAGTAAAAAGAAAAAGAAAATAATATTATACCTGTTAAGTTGTTATCAGAAAGTTCAAATTCCTCGAGAAAAGTCCAGTTTCCAATAACTGATGGAATTTTTCCTGGAATATATAAATAAATTTACTAAACATATTATTACGTTAAGAAATTATATAATTAAAAAAACTTTAATGGTAAATAACTCGTCTATTTCTTAAGTACATTATTAAAGCAGGACGAGTCATTTAACTTACCTGATAAGTAGTTTCGTTCGATAGAGATATACTTGAGTGAAGTCAAATTTGAGATCTCTATTGGAATAATTCCCTCCAAATAGTTACTATCCAAAAACAAAAAGTTCAACTCTTTGCATTTGAATAAACTCAATGGAACTCTTCCGGAAAGTTGACAGAATTCCAAATTAAGATAATATAATCGAGGAAGATGATCAAACATATTGGAGGAGAGATAACCAGAGAGATTGTTGTATGCCAGTGAAATATGCTGCAACGAGGAAATGTTGAAGATTGAATAAGGAATAGAACCTGCGCAATAAATAACCAGAGTTCACATTTTTGGCATAATGGAAAGAGATTACTTAAAACTATGATAGAATTCCCAAACCAAGAATTGTATCGATCCAAGCTTTAATCTTATTTCAAATCATCTAAACCCAATTTGTTGAAAAATGTTTACATGACTGATAGTAAAACTTGTGCAAGGGATGAAATATGATATCGTACCTTGTAAGTAGTTTTCAGAAAGGTCGATCTTTCTAAGAGAAGTAAGATTTCCAATAACTGATGGAATTTCACCTGTAACATATAAAAGAATTGTCTTAAGAAATTGTATTCTTCATTGAAGATTTGCGTTTTAAATGAAGTTTTTTTCCTTCCGAATTTTGATGTTATGACTTTGTTTATTTATGATAAAGTTTCTTTATGTTGAGCAAAATAATGAATTGTATAAGGGGAAAAAATAGAAATATGGTATTGTACCTTTTAAGGTGTTATTAGAAAGGTCAATATACTCGAGAAAAGTAAGATTCTCAATGATGGATGGAATTTCACCTGAAACATATAATAAAGTCGTAAAAATTTATTAATATTTTTCTACCATATCCTTAATTTCTTTGTTGAGCACTATATACATATGTTTTTCTTCCTTTCTTTCCCCTTAAACACGGAAAATCTATTCAATACTTTTACCTGAGAAGTTGTTATGAGAAAGGTCAATATACTTGAGAGAAGTAAGCTTTCCGATAATCGATGAAATTTCACCTGAAATATATGATTAAATCCGTCAAAATTTATTAATATTTGCTTATAAGGTAGTAGTTTAAGTCACAACGCTTATTGACAATTCATGCGTGATTTTATTTTCCTCTGATTAAGCGTGATTTTGTTTGAATCATATGTTCTTTCGTAAGGTACCTCAATTGAAGTTTTTTTTGTAATAAAATTAAATAAATATGATATATTATACCTGCTAATTTGTTATAAGAAAGATCTATGAAAATCAGAGAAGTCAAACTTTCAATAGCCGATGGAATATCACCTGAAACATATAATTAAATCCGTCAAACTTTATGAATATTTTTCTGGCAGACCCTTAATTTCTTTGTTAAGCACTGATATATCTTTAATATTTAAGACAATTGTTTACCTTCAAGGTAGTTGTATTCAAGATATAAAGACTGAAGCTTGGTCAAATTTCCAAATTCTCTGGGCATACTTCCCTCCAGAAAGTTGTTAGACAACGATAAAAACATCAACTCTTTGCAGTTGAATAAACTATTTGGAATTACACCGGAAATCTGATTCCCTCTTAAGTCTAGTGCTTGCAACTCAGACAAGTTCTCAAATATTTGCGATGGTAGATGTCCTGCAGTGAGATTATTTGTTGTAATTTTTTTCTATTAATGAGCACATTTGAGGAGAACACAGCTGAACAATAAGAGAAAAGGTAATAGAATAAAAGCGAACGAAACGCGTATTCAAGATCGAGAAAGATACGGAACCTGAGAAAGAATTATAATCCAGAATTAACCATTCCAAGCTTGATAGGTTTCCGATTGTTATAGGAATTTGCCCTTTGAAATCGTTTCTAGACAAGATCAGGCTCTCTAATTTTGACAAATTGCCCAAAGTAGATGGGATAACACCAGTGAAGTTGTTCATGTACAACAACAAGATTTGCAGTTGAGGGAAGTAACCAAACCATGATGGGATTTCTCCGCTGAAGCTATTGTTACCGAAGTTCAAATATTTCAGACGTTGCCAATTACTCAACTCAGTAGGTAAAGAGCCATGGAAACTATTGTGCTGAAGGTCGAGCGAGGAAAGGAAAGATAAATTTCCCAAGCGAGATGGGATGGTGCCTGTGAGATCCATACTCGACAAATTCAGAGCAATGACTCTGTGATGTCTGGATCCACAAGTGACACCAGTCCAATAGCAAATAGAGATAGAAGTGGACCAGTTGGTTGCTAGGAGGTTGTGGGGATCGTGAGTTATATGGGATTTTAGGGTTAAAAGGGAAGCTTGGTCAGTGGAGATGTTGGGTGAATTTGCAGACAGAACAGACCCGAAGGTAGCACACAGTAGCAGAGACATAAGAGAAGGGAGGATGCCATATTTTGCCATGAGGACAGAAACAGCGCCTGAGCTTAATACATGTCTCAGGATAGTTCGACACTTTATATACTCTGATTCTAAAGGATTGGGCACGACATCCTTCGACTCAAAATTTGAGTAGGAAAAACACACAATTACTGGGAACAAAAAAGAAAAAGCCAAAAATGCAAGACTTGGTCTCCAGTACATCAGTGGTCCATACATCTCATTGAGAATCTTATTTTGATCGAAATTAGACATTCTCAATCAGTATCATTTGTTACCTATTCTTCACGACTCCTCGATTCCCTCTATTAACCGCCATTGGAAAGGTACTAATTGAAATGAATGGGCACCCTTTCCAACAAGTAATTTCATATTTTGTCACCACTAGAAGACTTCAACTCTTTTACAAGTAAAAGACTGTCATAATCTCCTAGAGAAAGAGACAAGTGACCGGGCCAAAGACAAACAGTACATTGTTTATGTATCTTTTTTTCTTATATATCATTTTCTTTGTATGTCACTAGACATTAGATTGTTTCCTTTTGATAAACATTATAATATAATTGGTGCTGTATATATTATATTTATTAATCAAATGAAATAAGAATTTAAAGTTTACCTTATATTTTATGGTAATTTTTCTTTAAAGATCAAATAATTAAGTAAAGGAACAATTGAAGTCCAAGTCTAGAGTAAACACTAAGGGGTTGTTTGGTTCAAGGATTGTGGATCCCACATTCCCATGTTTGGTTGGCCGGGAATTTCATTTCCGGTAATGTTTTATTACCAATAGTAGATTTTTTTGGGTATATTACCGGGAATGTCATTACCTCCCTTCCCTTAGGTATTGTAACATTACCGGCGTTTTAGACTAAAATGCCCTTAAATTTTTATTTTTTTCAAAAATATCATTCTTCTGTCATTGAATAATAAAAATTATACGAAGGTTAAATTACAAATTAATCCTTAAATTATTTTAGATTTACAAAAAAAATCTATAATTAAAATTTTATATAAAGTTCAGGGGTTAAAATTTTTTTACCCTTTCATTAAACATTTTTTATATTTTTAATTTTGTAAAAACAATTATATAAATATTATGAATTTAATTTTTTAAAGAAAATATATAAATATTTTACAATTTGTAATATTATACAAATATATAATAAGGACAATTTGGTCAAATATACATTCCAATAATCTTTTATTCCTTTAACCAAACACGGTAATCTTACATTCCTGCTAAACCAACCAAACACAAAATACAACATTCCCAGTAATCCTATTCCCTGGTAATATTTTATTCCCACTGGTAATCTTACATTCCGTGAACCAAACGCACCCTAAAGGGACAAGACAACCTCGGTCTATTACCAAGACGTTGCCTTGAAAAGCATGTCAGTTCCAAATAAAAAGAAACACATGTTGTCTAAAGAAAAAAAATCTAAAGTGATTATATGATTTGGTAGGAATCTCAAGCCCCTCTTTCTATCTTTGTCTTCAAAAAGAAAAAAATCTAAAGTGATTATATGATTTGGTAGGTGATTGTCGTGTAATCAGTCATCGAGATGAAGCATTTACTTAGTTGTGTTGTACTCTTTTCCTCCAAATAAGTTTAGTGACGTTTTTATTCAGGCACACAACTTAGGTTACGGAATTATTGAAGACAAACTATAAATAAAACAGCTATAGAAAAGGACTTGCCTACCACAATGTTGGGAAATAAATCAAGTACAAGTAATTTCCCTATAGTCAGATTAGTGAGAATACGAAATAAAAGCGAAAAAATAATACCCGAAATTGATAACGGAGTTCAGCCAATTGTGTTTACGTCTCCGGACTGCTGCAGATCTTTTACTAAGAGAGAAAATTTACAGGTGTTTACAAAACACTCACTACTCACAAGAAAGCTCTCTAGTATTGGGAGAAAGAAATGATTTTTGGGATGGTTTTGAAGCTAAATGAGCTAGGGTATTTATAGTTGAAACTTAGGGACTAATCTTATAATTACCATAAAATACAATGTCTAAATGTGATTTATCCATTATTATTTTCAATAAATGATCTGCCAACCCATTGAAATTTTGCACCATTCGGTGCCTACCCGGCCTACATTTGAATTTGTTAATTTCATTTAGAAATTTAGGCGGTGCCCACCGTCCTTGACTTTACAATCTCCCACTTGAAGACTGATTTTATTCTGTCTTCACACCTTGATCAATGCAGCAGCATTTCTGGTCTCGTTATTCTAGCATGCCAACTGAAGCTGAACACAACTTCAGTTTTTCCGTGGTCACCGTCTTTGTCAACATGTCTGCCGGATTTTGAGCACCACTAATCTTTTCAAGTTTCAAAATCCCATCTTCCAGAAGAGACCGGATAAAATGATATCTCAATTGTATGTGCTTCGTTCTGGAATGAAAAGACGGATTTTTTGCTAGATGGATAGCACTTTGACTGTCGCAATATAATACATTGTTTTCTTGTATCTTGCCTAACTCTTCCAAGAAACTTTGGAGCCAAACCATCTCCTTGCTGGCTTCCGTAACAGCGACATATTCTACTTCGGTTGTGGAGAGAGCAACTATCTTCTGTAGTTGAGAAACCCAACTCACTGCAGTACCTCCTAGAGTATAGACATACCCTGTAGTGCTCCTTCTGATGTCAACATTTCCGGCTAAGTCAGCATCTACATAGCCTGTCAGTATCGTATTTCCACCTTTGAAACAAAGTGCTTTGTTTGTGGTACCCCGCAGATATCTGAGGATCCATTTGACTGCTTCCCAGTGTACTTTTCCCGGATTATTCATGTACCTGCTAACAGCTCCCACTGCATGAGCAATATCTGGTATGGTACAAACCATGGCATACATCAGACTTCCAATTGCTGAGGCATACGACACCTTCACCATGTGTGCACGTTCTTCCTCCGTCTTTGGTGATTGGTCTTTGGAGAGTCTGAAATGAACACCTAAATGTGTACTTACTGGTTTAGCATCTTGCATGTTGAACTTGGAGAGTACTTTGTTGATGTACTCAGCCTGTGATAACATCAAAGTCCCTGACTTTGTGTCTCTTTTGATCCTCATCCCAAGAATCTGCTTTGCAACGCCCAGATCTTTCATAGCAAACTGCTTCGACAATTTTTGCTTCAAGTTTATAATATCTTGCATATCTGAGCCTGCAACGAGCATGTCATCAACGTACAATAATAAAATAATGAAGCTGTTGTCGAACCTCTTGATGTAGCAACAATGATCTGCTTGGCATCTGGTAAAACCATTGCTACCCATGAAGCTATCGAACTTCTTGTACCACTGTCTAGGAGCTTGTTTTAAACCATACAAGCTCTTCTTCAACTTGCATACCAGGTTTTTGTTTCCTGCCTCTATGAAGCCTTCTGGCTGCCTCATATAGATTTCTTCCTCCAAATCACCATGAAGGAAAGCTGTCTTTACATCTAACTGCTCAAGATGTAAATTTTCTGCAGCTACAATTTTCAACACCAGTATGATTGTAGACAGTTTTACAACTGGAGAGAAAATTTCATTGTAGTCAATACATTCCTTTTGCTGAAAACCTTTGAAAACCAATCTTGCTTTGTAGCGTTTGCTCCCATCGTGCTCTTCTTTGATCCTGTAAATCCACTTGTTATGGAGCGCTTTCTTGCCTGGTGGTAATTCAGCTAATTCCCACGTCTGATTTGACATAAGCGAGTCCATCTCATCTTTCATGAAGGACTCCCACTTGACTGAATCCTCCACTTGCATTGCTTCATCATAGCACTCTGGTTCACCATTGTCAGTTAGCAACAAGTAGTGCAAAGAAGGAGAATACCGTTGGGTTGGTTTAGGAATTTTGGAGGAGCGTCTCAGTTCTGGTGTGCCTGGTTCTTCCTCTTGAACTGCTTCAGGACTGATCTGAACATCATTTCCAGAAATCTCCTCGAACTCAGTAAATTCCTTTGTTTCAGCTTCGGTATTACTTGATTCTGCGGTTGACCTGTCTTTGTACATCACATTTTCATTGAAAATAACATATCTGCTTCTAATGATCTTCCGATTTTCGTAGTCCCAAAACCGGTAACCAAACTCATCACCACCGTAACCAACAAATACGCATTTGTTGGACTTGGCATCAAGTTTACTTCTTTCAGCAGAGTTTATGTGTACATAAGAAATACAACCAAACACTCTTAAGTGTGAAAGTTTTATTTCTTTCTTGCTCCAAGCTTCCTCTGGTATTCCACCATCCAAAGGAACTGAGGGCCCACGGTTGATCAGGTAAGCTGCAGTGTTGATAGCTTCAGCCCATAGAAATTTGGGCAATCCGACATGTATCCTCATGCTTCTGGCACGTTCATTCAGAGTTCTGTTCATACACTCTGCTACGCCATTCTGCTGCGGTGTTATGGGAACTGTTGTCTCCATCTTGATCTCATTGTTTGCACAGAAATCTCTGAATCTCATTGTTATGGGAACTGCTGAAGGTCGAGCGAGGAAAGGAAAGATAAATTTCCCAAGCGAGATGGGATGGTGCCTGTGAGATCCATACTCGACAAATTCAGAGCAATGACTCTGTGATGTCTGGATCCACAAGTGACACCAGTCCAATAGCAAATAGAGATAGAAGTGGACCAGTTGGTTGCTAGGAGGTTGTGGGGATCGTGAGTTATATGGGATTTTAGGGTTAAAAGGGAAGCTTGGTCAGTGGAGATGTTGGGTGAATTTGCAGACAGAACAGACCCGAAGGTAGCACACAGTAGCAGAGACATAAGAGGAGGGAGGATGCCATATTTTGCCATGAGGACAGAAACAGCGCCTGAGCTTAATACATGTCTCAGGATAGTTCGACACTTTATATACTCTGATTCTAAAGGATTGGGCACGACATCCTTCGACTCAAAATTTGAGTAGGAAAAACACACAACTACTGGGAACAAAAAAGAAAAAGCCAAAAATGCAAGACTTGGTCTCCAGTACATCAGTGGTCCATACATCTCATTGAGAATCTTATTTTGATCGAAATTAGACATTCTCAATCAGTATCGTTTGTTACCTATTCTTCACGACTCCTCGATTCCCTCTATTAACCGC